CAGCAGCTCTGCTGAAGCTAGTCTTAGTTGTCCAAGCAGCGTCCAATGTTTCACGGATTCCACGCGCCTCCATGTTATATCTTTTCGTTTTTGCAGCAATTTGGAACATTATTCCGGTTTCCCACATTGTTCGAACGTTCAGTGTACCCAAAAGAATGGTTGCTGTGGCTGTGAGAATTAGCGTCACCCTCGTGACTTCCAAGGGAACCCGGCTTTCATTATGAGAAGTCATAACTCATCTGAATGAAGACCTTCTAACTCCCAGGGCAGAGTTAAAATTATTTGAAGTGACTTTTCTGGTTAGCGTTTTTCTAGATAGTTAGTTTCCTATTGAATAGGGTTGATAATCCCATGCACGACCATCCTCCTTTAGTCAGGCTTGGGATCGGCAATATATTTATTATCTTTAATTATTTCATAGTTGTATCCATTGATCGAGAGTTAGGAAAGGTTGAGAGTACTTGCTGTGATTGTTCAATTTATGTCAACAGTAAATACCTCAAAACGCTTGATTGATATTTGCTAAACTGAGCCACTCATGGCGTAGACGAGATATTCGTCTATCAATTAAAGAAGCGGTTTTATACGCAACATTTCGTTGTGAAACTTTATGAGTGAAACAGGGTCAGTAAGAACAAACGATGTTGTAGGCTATTAGTAATTGATCATAAGTATCTTCGAAGCATCGCTCGCGTATTTCAGAACCATCAAGTGAGCAATCGTGAAGTTATGAAAAGGGTACTAGATAGGCTTGTAAGTCCGTTGACGAAACAATGGATTTCCACCCACTAAGGTGGTCGGGACACACGTCATGTATATCTAGTCACTACCTACCTTGAAAAGTGATATTTTCTGGAGCGAGTAGAATGAAAGGAACCTCAAGTCTTCCAAAGAAAGACGAGGCACTAGTCCATGTTGCCCTTGACGACTGGACTGAGTTATGTTAATAGCTTTAGATTACCTGCATGGTGTTTTCGATTACTACCTTAATAGTTATTGTAATTTCCATACCGATTTTAGCATTTCTGATGCTTGATTTTCTTTTCAGTGCTAAGGCAATGATTGAAAATGTCCTTTTATTGTTTTTGACTTCTCACAACTGACCAAAATCTGTGGGGTACATTACAAAATGGATAACCGGTTTGTTCATAAACTTTATTAGCATACGTTGTATAACCCCAAGTTAATGCCTCGGTTACTGTCTTTTGGATCACTTCTACTGACTTTTCGATGCAGTGTAAACCTCTGTTTAATCATTTTCGGACATCGTACTACTTGTGACTGTTTATCATTTTCATTTGTTTAACAACCTTGTTTGATGATCTAATGGGTTTCAAACGATCATAATTCAATTTTTGTGTTGATAGTATCATTTCAAGGGTGCTTGGGATCCATTTGTGCTAGTCTGAAGCATGAAATCATGCTATTATGGACTCCTTAGAATGAATAATTCAGGGATATCGTGCTCTAGACATTTAGCACCTATTTTACCTCCAGTGGTTGCAGATAAATTAATCTGGACTTAATCTAGCTTCCGAGTCATTCCGTAATCACCGTTCTCTTATGAAGGGCTCACGGAGTGGCATAGTCCAAATCGTAATGGGACATATTTGTGAAGTTTTAAGCGATTAATTACTGTCTGTATCCTAGATATCAGCCAAAATAACGTGCAGGTGAAGATTACGAAGACTTCAACTGGAACCTAAAGATCATCAAGCAATTCACTAAATAAAAGCGTTAAGTACATCATTTAGAGTGATACTAATCGCGTACTTTTCGGATCGTCCATGAGGTGAGAATAAGTTTTGATATTAATTTCGACCACTGGCCTTTATCATTAACATTTTTCGGTACTAACAGAATCCCTACTGCCGAGCGGTTGATTCTGCCCATCTAGTTTAAAGGTAGTAATATCCAAGGTTTGTGACATCTTTTATTTAACTGTCAAATCATTCGCATGTAATAAAATGAGATCAAAACGATCACTCAGTAAGATCTGTATAGGCAAATATGAGAAAATGAAAGAAGTGTGATCTATGACTAGGACCTCATTTGGACCCCAAAATATCCTCGGTTCTACAAGGCTTTTAAACAAACGAATTCACCGAAACTCATATATAATTAATTCTTTATCCACTGGTTTTTTACTCATGTATCTCAGCATGAATATTATTGATAGCTTTGTAGTTCAAGTTCAGAATGTACAAGTGAAGCAGAGTAAGTTTAATCGACCTGTGTTGTTTCGTTGAATTCAAGGATTTAGTGCCGGTTCATCCTCATTTTGTGGAAAAATCTTCTAATACTCCGAACTTCTTTGGAGTAAAATGCTTACCATCATATTTCGCATTCATATTGAAGAAATATCTTGCTCTTATTCAGTGTTATTGACTAAAGAGATTTGATGGTCATAATAATTAGTAATCGTACGAATACGGGTAGCAAACACAAAGCCATCTTTGAGGGCTTTCCAGAACTCATGTAAACTTCTTAAAGCATTGTGTAGCTCAGAATTTCTGAAGTCATCTGTAATATCAACAGACCTTAACTAGAGCGCGATTTGGTCAGGTACCTCACTCTGTGCTGAGATCCAGTACTGCATAGTGACGTCATTCCATATGAAATACTTTAGATTAGTAGCACTAAGTTTATAAGTATTGCAGTGAATGAGAACACAGGTGGGGCAACCGAATTGTACTTAACGAAAAATTACAGAGTTACTCAGTAAAATTGGAAAACCATATCGTAAATCGTTCATTTGCAAAATAACAGTTCATCATATCGAACTGGACTGTTCCTGTTGCAAAACATCAATCCATTGTCACTATTCATGCGTTTCATACAAATTCCATTGTTTTCTAACTCTTTATTTCTTGATCTTCCCCCCATTTTCGGCCGTCAGACATTTCGTTGACACACGTCATATACTACTTATAAGTAGCTCGCGCCACAGCACCACACTCGTCCACCCTTTTAATAAGCTGTCGTCGTAGTCTTTTAAAACAGGGCCCCTGGTCAGTTAATATCACCTTCCGTATTCCGTGAAACGCTACAATATGTACGGATTACCACTTCGGTCATCGTTCTTGCGCGCTGGTCTGGAATGGATACGGCATCTATCCAACGTGTAGCGTTTACCAGTTCCCGATGCTGGGACACGGTAGCAGGCACACTCTCAAATAATTGCGACGCCAAGAACTGTGCCCCGCACTCCTGACGGCACAATCTGGTGAGCTCCACGGCAAGCACCATCACCAATAGCCGATAGCCGCGTCAACCGGAACCTCTGCGGCGCCTCCTCCCTGTCCACTGGGCTGTCGAACTCCGTCATCAGCCGCCCGGTGACCGTCTCCCACGCCGTCTTCCCGGCGGCACCGTCCAGGTCGTCGTATATCTCCTTTGCCTCACCTCCCCGCAGCGTCCCCAGCACCGTCAACTCCGCCCCGGGCCCCCACCAGCTCCACCGTGGCCTCAAACTCCTCCAGGAAGCTCCGCAAATCTCCGTCCTGCAACTCCTTCGGCCACGGGAGCTTTTCCTTCGAGCAGGCAGCGACACCAAATGTAGTGAAGAGAACACAGGTGGGGCAACCGAATTGTATTTAACGAAAAATTACAGAGTTACTCAGTAAAATTGGATAACCATATCGTAAATCGTTCATTTGCAAAATAACATTTCATCATATCGAACTGGAGTATGAGCACAAATTAGACACTCTGCACCGGCACACTCCTTTCTCTTGTGTTAAGTGAAGCTCCAGTGAATTTAAAGATGTGATCGTAATTTCGAAGTCCTAAATGGTATAATAGTGATGATAACTACAACTACAGGCAAAGCAAGAGGAGACCCCTTGAAGGGATGCTATAAGGCAGACGGAGAGATTTTGAGTCAGAGTACGCATGCATTATTGGGTTTTCATACACAATACATACATGTCAAAGGTACCGGACATATAATGTTTGCAGTGGCATGTAGGGTTTAACCGAATTGTAACGCGTGTAATTAACAGTCACTGAATGACGGAGAAGACCTGATACCACAACACATAGCGTTAACCAAGAACTCGGAGTGGTAGCCTCAGGTCTTTTGGTTGAAAACTGAAATTCGAAAGGAATGGATTATTAACAAAATACTCTTATGAGTCATCTTGCGGTTTCAGAACACGCAAGGCTTGCTCTTCTTTCAAAACGTTTATTCTTGGTAGCCCTGCAACAAAAAGAGAACAGAATCTATTGATAATGTCATAAATTGTGATTTCAACACTGGTACAGAATGATAGTTTGAAAATTGCAGACAGATATGCATCTACCTGTCCAACAGGAATGGAAAAAAATCAAAAGACTCTTAACATTTTCCGGTACGAGAAAATGTGTTACGTCTTAACCAACACACTCCTTTACCGGTGGATAGTAAGATTTATAATCCTACGTTGATGCATAATGACTAATAAACTAGATGAAATTTGACCCAAAGACTTGAATAGAAGCGGGCGATAACGGCTAGAAGAAAACTTATACTCGATTACTTTCGTAGGTAGAGTACGATATCTCTACCCCGATAACCTAGGTCAGAAGAAACGTTAAACCTCAAGACGCAACTCTTTGTGGCGACGATGTTTCAGCAGGAGGCTTCATATAGGAGCTCTTAATAAAACCAACAAGCTGAGCTTAAATGCTAAATATTCTCGAAACCGATTAGGTATTTACTATTATTTGGTTTCTTTCTTATAGATTTGATGAACTTAGAGGACAGGCATCGTGAAGTCGGAAGTTAGGATGAAATCGATTGTCTTGGGTGTTAATTTTAACCCTGAATCATAGATAAATGGAACTACTTGGTTCAGCTCTTAGTAACTCTGTTCTATTAAAATGCACTTCAAGTCTATAGGATTAACAAAAATTCAAAAGCTTAACAGACTATAATTGACGTTTTATTGACGTAAATGATGAGTTTATATCACTTTGAAGTGTTCTTTCTATTGGCTATACAGACGCTAGACGGTTGCAACGGTTTGTTTGTTTTATTTCTGTTGTTAACCTTGAAGACCACTCACCTATCTGTTTGTCTGCTAGTTGAAGAGATGGAGCTGGGTATCCCTGTCGAACAAATTGGGACAGAACACCAGAAAATTCCGGTATTGAAGAACAACTAATGTAATTTTTGTTCCAGGCACTGTTAGTAGGGATAGAAAAGACTTTATGCACAATACAATATACAGCTAAGTAAGTAACTCACTGTAACTGAGGATTAGTCTAGTAACGTGGTATTCAAAAATAAATTAGTAGTATATTAGCGCCTACGATTTCTCCGGGACATTTTCCGAGAGCTATTATTTCAACCAGGGCTTATTGGTTTACTCCCACTTTAAGGCTGCGAACTTACAAACCACCGTACGTCCCTAATAATGGTTGATTGATAACTACTTCGGTAGAAATATCGCTTACTATGCTGCTTTAGTCAACCTGGTAAATAAGTTGTCTTCAATGCGAAATAGTGGCCGCATAAGGTCACATACATCAAAATATATCTATTCCCTTTCTGATCATTATCCGCTCTATTATTGTTGTCATCTTGCTCAGGATTTTCATTACGGTAGATTTATTTTTTATGGGGGGGGATTACTTATTATCGGTCATATTTACGCTCTCCCACTAAGTCGAACAGATTACTACTACTACATGGACGTCAGCTCTCGCCGGCGTGGATTCGATGAGAATCCTATTCCTTCATCTGCTAGCGTCTTCTACCTATATCACTGCGAAGTGGCATTAAATGTCAAGGTATGTGACGGATAGAACACGTCCCATTTATCGACCACATCATTTCATGATGATCCACAGCCTCATCAATGAATTGGCTGACATTTGATCTCACCATTTCTCATTGGCTGCGAGTACTTAGAAGTCGTTAAAGTGCTATTAACATGTCTCATTTCCATAGTTTATATTTTACATCCGTCGACACACCCGACCGTAGCTGCTGCTTTGACGTTGTCGGGCTTGCCTATCGTGATGACCCAACCGAGCCATATGGGCTGGAACTTATGCTCCTGAAGGTTATACCCTGTCAGGTAGGTCGATTTCAGAACGGCGAGACTAAAGACAGCTACTGAAGGTCTGAGGGCGAAGTCGTACTGCTGACTGCAGAGATGTGTGACAGCAATAAGGCGTTTCCCTCGGACAACCAGCATCTGCATCGATGCTGCTTTCTCACAAGGAAGGAAGGGTTAGAAAATGTCGACCCTAAAAATGTCACACCTCACCCTACCTCATGAATTTCCGTCTCCGTCGGTAAGGGTGCCCACTAAGGGCTTTTAAGAGCGGAGCTAATACTCAAGAAACCTTTCATAAAAGGGCCGTGCGTGACCCGCCTCAAGCAGTTGTCCCTTAGGCTCTGCGGTCACGCTCCCAGGTTTCCAAGACCAATACTAATCTATCTTCCTTTTCAGGTACCTCAAGAAACACTCATGGTTTCCAAATTATCATATAATTTCGATTTCCACGAATCCATATCTTCCTAAATCAAATCGTTGGCTAATCTTTTCTTATACAACCGGTAGTGTCTACTCTGGTATCTCTAGTATTATGACTGGTAACATGAACCGATGTACATTTGTACCAGCTTTAGTCTCGCTGGGTTCATGAATTGTACAGTTAAATATGAGTATTTTTAAGATTGAGTTTGGTAAAACTTGTATTTCTATCATGATATTTCTTTTTCAACTTTAGTCATTGCACTATTAAAGTTGGTCTTTCCGAGCTTCAGCTGGCCCCAAATGCGTTTTCGATCAATGATAAGTGCGATGTTCAACCTGGCTCATCCGTAAATGAGGAACTGCCTCATAACTTTTCACCCAGAGATCCGGTTGAGGTCTGGCTAGATTCTGGTTCAACCGCAAAGAAAAAAATTGCAACCGATGTAGAAACGAGTAATTATGCGGAAACTACTTTCAATGTCCCACCTGGGGCATGGTGGCCTGGTCGTGTTCTTACAATACAAGGTGGCTTCGCACATGTTGAGGTATATTCACTCATATTCTGGTTATGATTAACATTACTGTCAAGCCATTATTTGGTATAGATTTATTTTCACACCGTGATTCTTAGCAATTCTTAGTTTTAAGAGGTAAAATATTGGTTTGTATCCTATTTCCTTAGGTTTTATGACTAAAACATCAGATGTGATCAAATTTTCATCAACTTAATGTCCTGTTGATCAATTATATTCAAGTATTATGTCGCACTTGTACTATGATTTTACAGTGTGGACTCTGTAAACTGCCATTTGGTTTATGTTTCTTAGAGTGTAGTGTTCATGCTTGCTTCATGTAATTGTCAGGGTGGGATCATAGAGTATGATCTTTGATAAGCCCTGTTATTCAACTTTTGCCGCGTATCTATATCTACGTTGTCGGAATTAATTATGAGGGGTTGTCAGTCATCCCAGTTAGATCGAATTCACTGGGTGTGTACGTGTAAATAGTAGTTTTGCGTCTCTTACTGCAATGTGATTATGTCTGTATTGTACAGTTGCATGTCATTACTTAATATTTTGCCAGTATGGTTGCCTTGAAAATAGTTGATTTTTGCTTCTAGGTTGCTGCCCCTTTACAGGAGTACACTGGGGTAGAAGATAAACCAACTGCACACGCCATACCACATTTAATTGGACTTGGTTCCTCAGTCTTGCCATACCGCTCTACTCTTGTGAAGGTAACGGAAATTCGAGTTCCATGGAACGGAAAATTTTTGGGTGGTCACATGGAGGACCAATCCCAAACGAGTGCTTTGACATCAGGTTTTTTGAAGGACAACTTAGTCGAATCGAATAATTTGTTAGTACCAGGAATTCTTCATCGTCATAGTATTTGCATTCCAGCTTACTTGTATCGATTGTGAGTTCAATGTATTGTCATGAGTTGTCTATTGTTTTCAATGAAGTTTCTAAATTTTACTTGCTCGTAATGTTTACTGTACACAATGTCACAGTTCTCCGTTTCGTTTACGCTGCTCATTCAGTTATGACTCGTGTAAGCGAGTACAATAGAACTCATTGTAACTTTTGTGTGCGAATCTTTCTAGTTGGTGCGATAATGTACAGATGTGATGTAGTTGTGATTATTTTTGCCATATGTAATGGCAGTGCTATCAAATGGAGTAAAAAATGTTCAAGAAATGAAACAACTAGTTAGTACAGTCTTCAGGGATCCAAAAAATTTTGCAGGGTCCCTAACATTAATGTTTAACGGACTTGCCATTTTCAACAAGATATACAACCCCTTTACGCTATATTTACCTGCAGTTATAATTTTTACTTTGACTTCGTGAGAAATGCGTTAAGATGAATTATCTTGCAAGTATTTTACATACCAGTTCTCTCATTGAATGGAATTCCAGTTCAAAAGTTACATACAACATGTAATTTGGAATAGATTTGACATGTACGAGCAATGGATAACCCTAACTATTCTGTGTTGAGATTTTCAACTAGTTACAAAGGTCAGAATGTGCTGTCACACTGCTGATTATGGAAGCTAGCTGAAACCGCACCTTATGAAGCTCCTCACCCACTACTCTTGCACCTTGCCAGGGTATGTTTATATGGTAGTTACAAAAATCTAGTTCAGTGAGTTCTGAATCGTATCGGTAATACCTGTAACTAAGGACTGTAAATCACCGGTTTTATCATTCCTGATCATAACTACTAAAAGGCACACTGCCGCCAATCAGAAAGCCTGCAATGCGCTACACAGCTCTCATTAATACTGACAATAATCTGATTGTTCCCTTGACTTCAGCCACGTCACATTCGTGCGTCAACTTACGTATTACATCAAAACAGACAATAACCCTTAATGTGTAACACGTACGTCAACTAAGTTACTTGATTTTAATTAACGTCTTATCTGCGTATTACTTAGTGGCACTGTGATACGCATGTAGTGCTTCGAAGACACGTATAATTTAATAGCGGCAAAATACACATGGTCCATACTTCTAAAGGTCATATTTTGCAACAGCGAACAAAAGGTACACAGCACAACCAGTTAGAAACATAAGTTCTAAAGCAGCTTCATACATTATTCGCTACGTGTTTTTTTGGTTTCTCAGTTCTGTAAATGATCTGTGCCTAAAAATGTAATTTCAACTGGTAGTTTTTAGTCGACCTTAATAACTTAAGTACATTCAATTCAGTGTTTCCTCAGGTTATCAATAATTTTTGATCACCAACCTGATTTTGTTTTGTGTAGAGCAACCAATCCAGAATCGCATTCAACTTTAGCTAAATTTTGTAGTGCTCCTTGTCTCATTCAGTGTGATTCTGAACCATTTCTCCCTGGGACGTTTGCGAAACTGATACTAGGAGATAAAGAGGGATCAAATGATTCTGGACAACATACCCCAGTTCATGCCGATTATGGATCAGTGAGCCCTTCATTGTGTCTATCGACCTATACATGGCCTTCACCCTCTCTGATTTCACAATCAGCTATAATGAATGTTCCACATATCGCAGGAACGCTGAGCCCAGCTGGGATTACTGACCCAAACATCCTTTTGACGGGTCTACCTGGAGCTAATGGACCTCTTGTACTGCTACATATCTGGTCTGGTTCTCCTGAAGCTATTCGACGTGCGAATTTCTTGGAATTGGGTCACATTCGTTTGTTAGCTGTTAGATATCATTTGGTAAGTCTTTGTTAATTTCCCAACTAATAAATCGAAGATAAAACCAGTGTTAAATTGCTATGCAGCTTAAACCTGTGTTATGGGTGGAATATACCATTCTAGATGTATACCCAGATAAATAATTTAATATGTAGAAGCATGTCCATGACAAAATTAAACAAAAATGGGGAAAGTGGACATCCCTGACGGACACCACTTGAAGTAATCAATACTAATGACAGTTTGCCATAAGCTCTCACTCGGCCTGTAGTGTTCGAGTAGAGAGCTTGTATGAGGTTAATGTACTTCCCTGGTACTCCTTTCAGTGACAGACTGCCATATAATCTCACGATCAACAGAGTCAAAAGCCGCCTTATGGTAGAGAAATACTACAATTGTGTCTATGTCCCAGGACCTGGTGTAGTGAGAAAATGTGGTCTGTACAGCCACATTCAGGACTGAAACCAGCCTGGTTTTCTCTAGTCTGCTCTTTACAAGCTCCAGTTACGCGTCGAAGTATTATCGAGGCTAACAATTTAGAAACTATATTAGTTAGACTGATTCCTGTGTGATTGTCACAATAGGACTTTTGTCCTTTCTTGTAGATTGGGACAATCAGTGATCGAGACCAGTCGGATGGCATTAAGCCCAGTCCCCGAAATCTACCTAAGAACTCAGTCAATCTAACCGCTAAAAGTGGACCACTATCCTCAAAAATTTCAGTAGTTCGTCTGTCAGGACTCGCTGCTCTCCCTCTCTTCAGATTTCCTATAGCTTTCTCAACTTCATAAAGAGTCAGATTTGCTATACAAGATGACACATGCTGAATACACAATAGAGAAGCTGATATAGCCTCAGATCATCATTAAACTGAAACTCAAAAATTACTGGAAAACGGACCGGACAACATATACGGCCTTTATTCAGGATTTTGAAAAGCTCAAGATATTTCTCAGCAATAGGTTCAAGGCTTTTCACGATCTACTCAATAAAAAGGAAACTTCCTTGGAGAACAAATGGAAAGGGATCAAGGAGGCAATCACTTCAGTATGTCGAGAGATTCTGGGCCACAGGAATTACAGTCACAAAGAATGGATCTCTGTTGGTACAATGGATAACATTCAGGAAAGGAGGAACAAGAACGCATCAATCAACACCAGCCAAACAAGAGCAGAGAAAGCCATGCTGAATACACAAGCAAAGAAGCAAGTAAAGAGGAACATCAGAGTCGACAAACGTAAATATGTGGAAGATCTAACAATGACAGCGTAAAAGGCTGCAAGAGAAGGAAACAGGAGACCATTTTACGATACAACAAGGAAGCTCGTTGGAAACTATCGTAAACCAGAACGACTAATGAAAAGAAAAGAAGGCAAGGTAATCAGCAACTCTGAAGAACAGCGAAGCAGGTGAGTAAAACACTTTGAAGAATTCCCGAATTTACCAGCCCCATTAAACACACACAACATCGAAGCAGCATCCACGGACCTCTCAATCAGTAGTGACTCACCAACAAGTGAAGAGATCAGCATGTCCATCAGACAAATCAAGAGAGGCGAAACAGCCGGACCAGACAACATTCCATCAGCGGCACTGAAAGCAGATGTGGAAGCAACTGCGAAAATATTTCACATTCTCTTCAAGAAGATTTTGAATGAGGAACAAGTACTATCAGATTGGGAAGGAGGATTACCTGATGAAAATACCAAAGCAAGGCGATCTCAGCAAGTGTGAGAACTACAAAGGCATCACTCTTCTCTCTCTGTCTTCAACAGATTGTTGTTAAACAGAATGAAGGACTTCGTAGACGCCCAACTTCGAGACCAACATGCTGGATTTCGTAAAGATCGATCGAATTGCAACATTAGGGATCACTGTGAAACAACCAACTGAATGGAACTCACCACTCTTTATCAACTTCATCGACTACGAGAAAGAATCCAATAACTTGGACAGGAAAACACTGTGGAGGCTTCTTGGACACTACGGTGTGCCTGAGAAGATAGTTGGGATCATACGGAATTTTTATGACATATTAAACTGCAAAATCGTTCACGTAGGACAGCTGACAGATTTGTTTGAGGTGAAGACCGCTGTCAGGCAAGGTTGCTAACTTTCACCCTTTCTCTGTCTCCTGGTGGTTGACTGGATTATGAAGACGTGTACACCTGAGGAAAGCATGATATACAGTGGATAGTTGGGATGCAGCTGAACGATCTCGACTTCGTAGATGATGTGGCTCTTCTATCGCACATGCAACAACAAATGCAAGACGAGACGACCAGTGAAAAAGGAGCCTCTGCAGCAGCAGGTCTCAACATACATAAAGGGAAGAGCCAGATTATCCGATGGAAATGCCTTGTAGGACGTTAACACCTATACATATCTTGGCAGCATAATCGACAGTCAAGGTGGATCCGAAGCAGATATGAGGGCGCTGATCGGTAAAGCAAAGGTTGCATCTCTACCATTGAAAAACATCTGGAATTCAAAACGCCTATCAACCAGCAACGAAGTCACAATTTTCAGTACAAATGTCAATACAGTTCTACTGTGTGGGACGGAAACTTGGAAAACTACCAAAGCCATCATCCAGAAGACACAAGTGTTTATTAACAGTTGTTTACACAAAATACTGTAGTGAGTCATTCAGTTTCTAGCTCATATGTCTCGTCCTACTTGTCTCTTGACCCTGGTCACTCATTCGTCGCTTTATGTGTGTGCATGCCTATCTCGCTTGTTACATGTGTGTCTTATTTTTGTCACACTATGAATTCTTAGTCATGCTTTATCTCTTGGAGTTGGCTTCATCCATTCATTCGCCGATTCGCTTGCTTGCTTTCCGACGCTTGCATAACGATTTTATCTTTGAGTGCTTGTACTTTGCTGCTCTATTTGTGGTGTGCCAAAATAAACATATTCAACACTTCGAGTTCACCTTCTGATTTATAAACCGTCAGACGCTATTTAGTAACGATTGCCTAGACGAGCTTATTACGAAGCCTAAGAACATGTTGGATACCAACCGTCACGAAACTACTGATACCTTGCACACCACATAAATAAAAGCAACGAATTAGAGACAAGGTCAAAAGACGAGTCGGACGAGTCATGTGAGCTAGACATTGAATGACTCACTACAATACTTCGGATCCGTTGGCCAGACAACATCAACAATCTACTGTGGGATAGAACAAGCCACATTGCAGTGTAGGAAGAAACCAGGAAGAAGCACTGGAAGTGGATGGGACACACTGCGAAAAGCACGCAACTATATCACAAGACAAACCCTCACTTAGAAACCCGAAGGAAAAATGAAAAGAGGAAGGCCAAGAAACACATTACACCGAGAAATAAAGACAGACATGAGAAGAATGAACAAAAATTGGAAAGAGCTGGAAAAGGAAGTCCAGGACAGAGTAGGTTGTAGAATTTCGGTCGGCGGCCTATGCTTTATTGGGGGTAACAGTCGTCAGTAACTAAGTAAGTAAGTTTTCTACGGGATGGGGTCGCCAACCACAAGCCCAACCATCCCGTATGCGGGTTTGGGACTGGCAGTAGCCCCGATGCGCTCTAGGCGGTGTTTTAGTTTGCATGAATTTCAAATATAAGCTGTGTATAGTGATTGAACCTAATTGTTTTTCTTCTAGCTAAGGAATTTGTCGAAGGGGGAAACTGGAGATCTGGAGTTGTCTAACAGTGCTGAGTTAGATGTTGAAGATGGGGATGCTCCTGCCATTCATTGTAAACCTATCAGTATGCCAGCAACTGCGTCAAGTGACAAACAAGCGTCTGGTGGAATGATTATCGGTTATGAATGTCGTTTTCGAATTTTGCCACATTTGATTGGTCTTGCTATTGGACATCGTGGTGCAACTATTCAAGAAGCTCGAGGAATTCCTGGAGTTCGTGCGGTCGATCTTCTTTTTGATGGAATAGTCCATGTAGAAGCTGAGGTAATTTTGATTAAATGATATTAACTTATTTCACCGTATGACCATACGAACTAAATTTTAATTAACATGAAACGTTTAATTTTTTTAACCAAAAATTTTAGGCAGGCCATGCGTTACTTCTGACTTCGAAAGTTTTTGTCCTTATGTCAGTCGTTAGACATATGGACGATTTAGTTTGTTAGGCTAACACTAAAATCATTAGTATAATATTTTTATGTACGTTTCCTGCTGTTTTATAAAATCCTAAGGTTTGTGATGGTCTTATAAGTCCTTGAATCAAAAAGTTTTTCTACTCGAAAATCCATCCGCATTCATATCAGTACCTTTGCATCCTTTGTAAGCTTTTATCTAGTTTTAAACGGTTTCTCATGCATCTTGTTTCACTATGTATAATGAAGTGAGATTACGAAAAAATCTGAGGCACTAATACCGGTTAAGAATAAGAAGCGTTAGCTCAACCAGTAGAGTGATCCTGCTATATCGTTTAATTTTCTTGAGTTTACTAAAACTTCTTTGGTGTGGTTAGTCTAGAAAATAATGTTACGTCCAGCTGTATAGAACATATTCCATATGTATGTATATCAAACTTAGGAATTTTACTGGGTGTTACTCTGTCAAGACTCAGGTGGATGCTACGACTATGATTTTAATTTATTGTATTTGAACGGCGTTTGTTTGGATGATTTAACGGAAATATTAGACACTGAATTAAATTTCTAACTGTTCAGTTGTATTCAAAAATTTTTCATGACTGTCTCATCCTATTAATTTCTTGTCGTTCAGACTATTGAAGCATGCCACTCAGTGAGGAATCTTTTGGATTTCACTGAAGTTGAGATCCCTGTCCAACCGAGATTAGCAAGTCGGTTAATCGGATCAAAAGGCATGAACATCCGAAAGTTAGCAGAAGCGGCAGGTGTTCGGAGAGCTAAGCTGTTAGATCCTTTTGCTAGAAAACGCAAACTAATGGCTCAGCGTCAAAACCATTATCCAGTACGTGTTGATTTGGAATGTGGTGGCTCGGTGGCAGATGGCGTTGTTCATGAAGATACATCAAACGGTGATGAAACTGACAATCAGAACGAAAAACTTTCTGTCAATTTGGATGGTTATTTGAATGATAACAAGAACTCTAGTGGTATTGTCGACTTATCCCCTGCTTTCTCTCTTGTTGGGACACGTTCATCTGTCGCGAAAATGCGTTTACTGCTTGAATTTCAAGCAGATAATTGGAATGAACTGGATGAATTAGAAGTATGTAATTTTCGTAACAAATAAATATTTTTATTACAAATCAACATTATGTCATTTACTTATCTCTCTTTTTACTCCAACAATGTTCTTGTCATTTTTTAAAATCAGTTTTTTGTGAATTTTTTTGGTTAGTTATTCATCTCTATTACCCCGTTTTATTTTATTCGTTATAAATTTTCTGTAGGAAGCCCGGCGATCTTTGTTTAGTCAATTACGTCAAACCAGTCAACTCAACCAACAATCCGACACTCTGTCACCCACTCGCATTTCCAATGGCAGGTCCAATAGAGGTGGAGGGAACTTCGGGTTTGTTTCTGGTCTAAAACATTTTATAATGTTTTTTATGTGCTGTGTATTTTAAATTTATTGAGATTTGTGACTAAACAAACTTCATGACTAATGGTAACCTTTATTCTCACAGGTTCATTCCTATCAGATATTTACTCTGACGATTCTATCTTGTTTTTATTCGCTTAGAACAATGTTGCATTTTCATGCATATAGCAAATCGATATTTTTGAGAATTGACAAACGTATCCGTTATACTTTTATATGAAAAGCCCTTTGAAATAGTTTCGTTTGTTAGTTTATCAATAACATACACTTTCCAGATTTTCTCTCACTAATCACCAGCTAGCATTATCTGACGTTTATCATACGTACAGTCGAGTATGCACGTCAGTTATTAGTAAGTTCAGTATTCGTAAGCGATATCCCCGCTTTATATAAGAAAATTTTGGTTCAGGTTAGTTTGCGTAGTCATCACCACAGTTATGAAGATGTAAATAACACTTACTAGATAACATTGATAATTATACTCCCTCCTGCTATATCGCGTCGGCAGCATTTGACAACATAGAAGTCATCCCTAATACGAACCTAAAGACTGGTTGCTTGACTCAATCAGCCATAATTAACATAAACTTCTGTGAAGCATCTCTACAATAAAGACTCATTAATGCATGTTTGTTTTTATCAAACATTTTGTAAGTGATTCCAGCTTAAACCATTCGGCCTAAATCTGATGATGGTACATACGTTTATGGAGTAACCAGTTGTTAGACTGAGCTGAGTCTATGGACGCAGATCATTTTGTTGTGGTACATTTTAGCATTGGTCGAAATTATTGAGTAATATAGCCCAAAACCGATCAGACTAGTGCAGATACCTTTACCTGGGTCATGGGCCTCGATATTTCGTAGTTCTTGAATCTCACTCTTTTCGAACTGTATTTTCCAGCACTTCGTGTTTCCAAGCGTCACTAATACCATTAGTGTTTCAACTCTTTTGGTATTTACTAGGTTAATTTCACTTCGTGCTGATGTGATTTTGCAAATGGAGCTGATGGACATTAGTCCCAGGCTTTATACCGTTATATTATATTGAAATATTTCTTACTCTTCTAAACTTAGTACCAGGAAACTTCTTATATCATTTCTTGGTTTCCCAGAAGAACTAGAACTGTTGGTCGCGGTCGCCGACAACCTGAAAACTTGATTCCTGAACAATCTTTAGGTGATAAAGAAATATCTCGTCCACCCAACACACATGACCAACATATGCGCGGCAGAAATATCCATCAATCAGACATAACCAATAATAATATGAAAAATCGTCAGTCATCAGTGAATGATTCATATTCTGTTTATTCTAACGGTATGTTTACGTCAACTAACGTTTTTTTGTACTAAAAATACCGAGTTTGACCTAATCTGTTTCAAAATGGATATCTTTAATTATAAAACGGTTTGGAAAGTACCATCGCACAATAATTCAGCCGGATTTTATCTTGTGCTATAAATTGTTAGTTGGTTAGCTTCAACACTGTTTAATAAACTAGTTTGATAATTCCTTGAATTTTTAAGTCTTGTCTTTCTTTTTTTTAAGGTGTAATGTCATCTGGTGATCATGGAAATCGACTAGCTGACAACAAGAATGATATTTCGGGCTCAAATAATATAAACGAAGACCAAACGCCAAAACAAAACAACGGTACCTCTAGACGTGGTCAAAACCGCAACAAAGCTAGAGCAGTTTAAAGTTTGTGGAATAAATAAATTTTACCAAAAGCCCCTGGTGTCCTAATGTTGCCTTTTGTTTCAAAAATTAACTACTGAGTTAAAGTGTGCTTTATTAGGTTTATCTTTTCACAAAATATTCATAACCGTAAACAGTTTAGATGGTCTTCCTCCTAGCGTTCAGCAATAATGCTCTTTCATTTTCGAACTGTATTTCAAGTAGTGACAGCACATCACGTGTTTGTGTAGGTTTTTGCTTAGCCTTTTAAAGTGCATTTACACGCGCGCCACCACTGTGTAATTAAATATGACCTTGTTTCTCTTGCCTGTTTGTACCTTTTTACATTGCAACCTAATATTGATTGACAAATATCTTTCAGCTTTTCTCTGCCACCATTCATCGATAGATTTTGATCTTTTAAAATAAAGATTGTTGGTTTTACTGATTTTTTTTGTGGAGGTGGGATAAATCATTTCTTCCGTAAACATCACAATTGTAAATATCGTGAATCTGTTGCATTTCCGATTGAATTATTCCACGATATCAGTGGGATAAACCAGAGTTCTGTGAATTCCGATAACATCGATACTCGAAGACGGTAACAGCTGTAAGAATACTACGTTCAAATTTAAGGCCGATTTAACGTGATTACACATCGATTATTATTTATTATACCCAATTTTCCGATTAATAATTTGCGTTTGGCGAATTTGGTTATCTCTGAAATTTACACTAAATACTACTTCATACCTTTGTACCCACCTAGTGAGTTTTTAAATGCATTAAGATTCAACCATTTGTTTGTATTTACCTAAAATTTCTATCCATGCATTGGTTTTTGTGAATTAGCAGGTTGTGGAAGTGCTTAATTGAATTCGACGTTGTGGGTCTTGAAACAGAATCTTTATGGTCCCGATGTTTAGTTGAGCACTATTTTAGAGTGGGAAGTGGTCCATTTCCTTTATTACATAGATAATGGTGAAGTGACGCTTGGTTATAAAGAAATAGCTATATTCCCTAACTGATTGTCTTATAGATACTCTCAGAGTTCCGTGAGAGACATATCACATTCGTAGGTTGAATAATATCTGAGACATACAAAGTCGCTCAGGTCACGACTGAGCATTTCATGCTATTTTCATGTGTCGAGTCATGTGGTTGAGTGATTGACTTGCAATGTGGTCACAAGTTCAAGTTGCTAGACTTTTTTTTGAGATTTAAAACACATTCACAAGAGAATGTTGCGTAATACAATGAAACGTGATTTCGATAAAATTATAATATCCACAAATAAAGCCTTCTGTGTACTCGTGGCTCAATTTCTGTCAAACTATCCGTTCACATATTGACGGGTATTCGTGTATCCTATATAAGATATACAACCAAAGTGAACTACCATTTACCTGAAGCGCTCTTTTTTATAAATATAAATTGTTTTAAAATTAACTATTGAATTTTATTGCTAGTAAAAACATCACAGAAAATAATTTAACTACAAATGATAAGGTGATTCCCATTGCGATGTTCGGATTTGTCCAGAGACGGCTACTTCCATTAAAAGTGACTGAAATGAAAAAAAACAGTGAATAAATGTACACTAATGCACCATACATAATGTAACTATTAAGGGAAAATTGGATGCGTATCTTTTTTAGACAAGAAAAGTACAGTGCTGTTTAAGTGAAACGAGTGAGGCGGAGTAAATTAAAGAATAGTAATAATATTTCTGTGCGAAAGTTAAGTAAACATTGTAGTCGCGTGAAATGATATAAAAAGTTATACTGGCTAGGCTGATCAAGTCTACGGTAAAAGATCTTAAAAATGTATACATGTTTGTCGTAATATAAATTGATCAAAGACATGAAGATTTGATAATGATATTCAGAGGAGTTGGACACCTGATACACGATTAAATTCTATCCAGCGCTTATATCACACACAGCAACAAATATATGTGAAAACGGCCAGTGTACCAACTGTCTCTGCAATATACACAAGGGAAAAAGCAAGACCCTCCGATACAACACAACATGCACCAATCAAAACACTCGACGAAGAATCATTGTAAGATGTGCAAACTCTTACTACTAGGACATCATTGATAAACAAGCGGGACTTGATGCAGATTTGGAGGCACAAGTTGGCAGAACAAGGACAGCATTTCTACAATTGGAGAACATCCGGAACTCAAAACAACTCTCAACTAACACAGAAGTCAGAGTTTCCAATACAAACGTCCAAACGGTTCTATTGAACAAAGCTGAATCTTGGTGAACTATTACAATCATCACCCAAAAAAGATACAGGTGTTTTTGTAAATGGTTGTCTATCCAATATACTGAGGATCCGTTGGCCAGACACCATCAGCAGAGACCTATTGTGGCAAAAAAGAAACTGGCCTACGACTGAAGAAGAACTGAAGGAACAACGCTGAAGGTGGATACGACATAGTACAAAAACCGTCAGACTGTATCGCAAGGTACGCTGCAACTTGAAATCCTCAGAGCTGAAGGCAAGAGGAACACCACAAAACGCATTGCACCGAGAATTGGAATCGGACATGAAAAGAATGAACAGCAATTGAGAAATTGAAAGGAAGGCCCAGTACAGAGTAGTTTGGAGAACGCTGCTCAGCTCCGTGAGGGGTATTAGGCGTAAGTAAGTTGTTATTGACTGGAATCCAATGTCCATTTCATACTGTCCGTTTTTCAGTGTGCTAGTTTTTGGAGATATACCTCGTTGGCTAATGTCAACCTGCGAAAGTAAACGTCCATGAATTTGCAGTATAGATGTTTTTCGATGTTCGCTTTGTGTGGGGTATTAAGCATTTCTGCGTAGTTTTTCGCTAACCTAGTTGCCAGTGATATATAAGAGAGGGGTTTTTACTGGAGATAACATTCCAAGCCTTTACTTTCATTTCATTTTTTATCTGACACATTAGGTTGCACTACCAAAACGGGTTTATTCTAGGGATACATGTAGAGGTATAGGTCATTGTAATGAAATCATAGTTTTAATGCAGTAATCTAATCTAATACTAAAGAAACACCCAAAAGTTTGATATTGCATACTTATTCAGCATTAATCGTGAAGGATAAGTCCAGGGCTTTAAATCGATTGCTTTTAGTTGCTGAGCCGTTCACTATAAACCATTATGATTTAGCTAAATATATGAAGTTTCTAAGAAGCCTTGTAAATTAGTAGTAAAAATTTAATCGGTTGAATGATAGTCAGTTATACCAAACAATTCACGATAGAGGCAAAAAAAACAATATCTGTGCAGTATAGCCAAATATATTTGAAATGATTGATTGCGATCAACTCATCAGGGTTATATGAGTTTAATAACTTATTATGAATTTCGAGTTATTCAGAAGACTATGTGCATTATAGTGAAGCGATTTCATAACAAACAGCAGTTGAAGGAAAAGAGATGTCGAGTGAAAAGTTGTTTTAAGATCCACAAGAATAACAACGGGTGTATCTACTATGACATATTCATTTATACATTGTATTTATTCCTGAACTGGTAACTGAGGTAGCCGGCTTTTAGGTTCACAAGAATCATAGATTGCATAAATACAATGGACACTTTATTTTTAATGCTGGTTTAGTTGGAGGATCGTAGCCATTGATATGGTTACTAGCAAACTTGAGGATCTAAGAGCTTCTGGTACAAATGACTGCTCTAGTTGCAATTCAGTTGACTGACTAACCAAGTTAAAAATGGATAGAAGTGTACCAAATTTTTTATACACTTTCTGTAGGCGATTTTTGGACAGGACCAATTCGAGCACAATTGTATGTTCCGAGACTGCTTGGAACAGTTATAGAATAATCGTTATAATTTTTATCCGAATATTCAGTTCTGAAGGCAAGACAACCTGCATGTATTAACAGAGATAAACTATCATAATATGGAACTGAATACAGTGTTAGAGTTATTAATTCATTGTACTATTCTTGATAAGAGAATGATTAAGTTTCACTTCACATTGATTTTTAAGAAATTTATATATGTATATACATAAAGGGGGTTATTCAGAAAATACATGACACCTGAAGTCAACTAACCTTTAATAAATTACTAGATTGAACCGCATTCATTCCAGCTCCACGAACATCTGTGAAAATATTATTTATAAAATGTGACATCGGAGAATTTTGATATATAGGTGATCCCTTCATTTTTTGATTACAATATGCGTCAGTGGAATATAATAAATTGATTAGTTCTAGTGTGCCAGCGAGTGGAACTACAATTTTTTGTCGTTCATTTGTATAGTCTTTAAGGTAAGCTGAGCTTCCTGTAGATCAAGAAATACGAAAAGATGATTGAAAAGGATAATATTCACTCAGTGATGAACGAGGTTTACATTAGACAAAATGTTTAATTCTAGATCACCGTACCGCTTCACAGCATAGTGGCTGGCAGATCTCCTGGAGATCATCAGAAAACGTATTTGTATACATTCACTACACAATTTTGAATTTATCGATGACGTTAAAGTGTATGTGAATGGCAAACTTATCCTTTCACTTGATGTCGAATTATTATTCACTAAAGTCCCATTCAATCTGCGAATACATAAACGGTTTATATGTAAACCAACAAAATCTTATTGAAAGGAATTATTATTAAGATACACTTTTAACGTAAAATTAACGTAATTTATGGCAATGAGTTCCTCACTTGGTCAATTGCGAGCAAATCGGCCAGATTCGAAAACAATCACCTGATATCGTGATATGCTTGAATGCTATTACGAGTTCACCTTACTCGGTAAACGGGACGAAAGCAATGACTCAGTGACTTAATAGGCTATTCTAATCCGTTTGTCCTAGCCACGGCTAACTAGATCAGGAAGTCTTGATCAGGCGTAGAGCGTGTATCCTGCAAGCACAAAGAATATACGAGGTGTCCAAGCACACAAATCAAGCTTATTTATACAATGATAGAGACGACCTTGAGTGAACCACAAAATAGCGTACTAAAGTAATCCATCAACCAATGACAATCAAGGACTTTCCGAGAGGTAAGGTCAACTGGCGCGGAAACATGGAAATTCAAAATTTCAGAATAAAATTACAAAATTAAGACCTTTTCAAATGAGTACTGGGGATCTAACGTCCCCAACACATCGAAAACTTCCAATCAGTTGAAGGATACGTGGATGATATCATTACGAGTTGTGACATTAAATATCGTTAGGATCATCTACAGACATTGGACAACTACCACCTAGCAATAAAGCCCGCACTAGAAGTTGAAAACAAACAAAGGATTCATGTTATTGGTGTCGAAAAATTAATAAAAACACGAGTTGTAAAATGAACTATCTACTCACGAGGAATCAAGTATTAGGCTTTCAAAGCTGGATCCTAATTAATGGAATGCGAAATCTAATTGTATCCCTTGCTCAAAATTTATGAAGAATTTGAAGTCTCGAAGCCATAGATAATGAACTAAACTGATTAAAGGAAATACTTGTCGAAAACGAGTATCCATCTGTATTTTGTGATATGGACATAAATTCAACTTCCTTACCAAAGGAAAATCCTTATATTGTAAGTCGATCACAAAATTTTAATACAGATATTTTTAAAAGGAGAATTCCTGACTCTCAGCAGAGTATTTTTCGAAGGAACTTTGCGATTAGTATTCTCCAACCGATCGCTCTTTAATAACGATTTGAGGGAAAAATTATCTAATATGACTGATTCAATGTGAACTCATCAATTTAACTGTTCATGTGTAGAAGTTGTTCAATGCGCATTTTATTCAAAAACAAAAAAACTGCTTGGATAAAATGGTTTGATAACGAGCTTTTTAATCGAAAACCTTGTGAATACAGGTTTATGATCAAAACGTACTCTTAGTTAATAGTTATCTGCAAGGAAAGTAGAAAGCTACCGAAGGTAGATAGTTACGTCTTTTTAGCATCGCCGAAGCACTTGCTATACATCCACAAAAACCAGGATTGTGTACACAGGATAAACTTGCACTTTTTTCCTACCATGGTCTTAATCTTGTGATTTTTTATTCTTTTTCTTCGCTCAGAGCTGTCTCCGCTTCTATCTTCTCTATAGACCTACGACCAACTAGTTTGTTTCTGTTTCTATGATCTTCTTGGATACAGTTCATCTCAATTTTATTATTAAGATATGCCTAATGCGGTTAGATCAGTTCCTTACTAGATAAAATGAACATCAGGAGATTTATAAATTTCTAGTCAATCAGTCTGACGATTTGATGTGAAATCAGTACATGTGAAACAAAACTCAGATAAATAAAGTGAATAATAGTAATATTTGATTCATTAAGAAAAGAGAAAGTATCAGTACTAATAATAGCATCAGTCATTTCTTACCAATATTAGCTCCATGAGAAAGAGCTTCTTCTAAATGAGTAACCAATGAAATAACATCTGCGAAACCAAGATTAACTCCTTGACCGGCAAGCGGTAGTATTCGATGAGCTGAATCACTGTATCAGTGGTATTTTTTAAAAACGTAATTCAAAATGAAAGCCATGTAGAGGTTAACATATGAATTTAAAACATCTTGAAATATTTTTCTCGAACAGTATTTTAAACTAAAAACAACCTCCAAACAGTACATAAAATATGCTACAATTTTATTCGAAATAGTATCAACAAAAAATTTCACGAAACCCATTCAAAGTTAGAAATTTTAATTTTTGAGTGCAACCCAGTCAACAATTTAAATGCTAGTCATTAGAGTTTTTACAAATGAATTAATGCTATAAGAGTATATAAATTAAAAGCAGAGATGGAAAGAGAACACAAAGAAACAGGTGACTCAATAGTTCGAATTCTCAGTCAGTCAGACACAACGTAGAACATGGTATGTAAGTACAAGGATTAAAAGATATTATTCAAGAGGTATGATTCAATGGAATAAGTTTAGGAAAACAAAACTAGAGGTGTTCAAGAATCCAGAATATTAGGATTTGAGAGAACACAAAGAATAAATGCACCGGCGCCATTGCAAACGGTTTTGAGCCATGTCGTTCAAGGTCTCTAACCATAGATTTTATCATCTCGCGGACCCCAACCAGGTAGTCGACAATTACCGACATGACTCAGTCCACTTGTCAATGATTTCATGGATTTATGCCATGTTTTGGTCTGGCCGCCCTTAGCTTTCGTCCAACCTATTCCTTCATCACAAAATATAGCTCGACGAGGCAGTCGGTGGTTAGGCATACGCAGTACATGTCCCAACCACCTCAACTGATGAAGTTTCAATACTTCATCTATTGATCTGCCATTCTTACCTAGCACCCGATTCCTAATAACAGCGTTGCTCACTCGGGTGTCCCAGGATATATGAGCAATGCTTCGAAGACACCTATGATCGAAAACCAGTAACCTACGAATATTTTCTACTCTCACTGGCCATGTTTCACAGCCATAAAGTAAGACGGATCGAACTACTGCGCAGTACACTCGTCGTTTAGTCAGCAAACGGATATCACGCCTACGCCATAAGTGACGCAGGTTGGCAAAAGCCAATCGAACCTTCTGTATACGAGCTGAGATCTCGTCAGTCACCAGGCAATCGTCACTAATGAGACACCCAAGATAAGTGAAGCGGTCTACACGCTCGACTACTTCACTCCCTATCACTAGTTCAGGTGCCGACGCAACCCAATCTTGAAACAACATTTTGCATTTCGAGGGCGAAAACCGCATCCCGAACATGCTTGCATTGTTGCTTAGGGTAGTCAGAAGACTCTGCATTTTGTTAGCATCTTCACCAAGTAGGACTGTGTCATCGACATATTCTAGGTCGGTAAGCGATTTTCCTGGTAGAAGGTCAACCCCCGAAAAATCTGACCAGCTTAATTTTAACTCGAAAAGCATATCAGCGACAAAGTTAAACAGAAATGGAGAGAGTGGACATCCCTGACGGACACCACTTGAAGTGAAGAATTCCGGTGACAGTTCGCCATAGGCTCTCACTCGACCACTGGTGTTCGAGTAGAGAGCTTGTATGAGGTTAATGTACTTGTTTGACACACCTTTCAATGATAGACACTGCCACAGAACCTGACGCTTTTAGGTCCAGGAACACAGATGTTGTCGGACGTCTAAATGTATGTCTATGTTCTAGGACCTGTCGTAGTCTGAATATGTGGTCTATACAGCCAAGTCTAGGTCTGAAATCAGCCTGGTTTTCTCGAGTCTGCTCTTCATGAGCTTTCGTTAGGCGTCTAAGTATAATGGAGGCCAACAATTTAGAAAGAATATTAGTCAGACTGATTCCTGTGTGATTGTCACAATAGGACTTTTGTCCTTTCTTGTAGATTGGGACAATCAGTGACTGAGACCAGTCGGATGGGATTACGTCCAGTTTCCATATTCTACTTAAGAACTCAGTCAATCCAACCGCTAAAACTGGACCACTATCCTCAAAAATTTCAGTAGTTCGTCTGTCAGGATTCGCTGCTCTCCCTCTCTTCAGATTTCCTATAGCTTTCTCAACTTCATCAAGAGTCAGAGGACTTACATCGATTTGTTATTCAGGATGACTGGAGATCGTGAGCAATCGAAGTGTGGTTGAAGGACAGTTGAATCTGTCCCTAAAGTGTTCTGCCCATCGGTCCAATCTGGATTGAGAATCGATGGTACAGCCATCCTTTTCTGAGATAGTCTCACTCACATTTGGGTTCTTAGTACCGGTTTCTTTGATAAGGCGGAAAAGTTGTCTAATGTTGCCTATCGCCGCTGCCTTTTCCATCGCTTTCGCTTTCGCCATCCACCACTGTTCGCGGTCGTTACGTAGGCTTTTTATCAATCTGCGTCTTCGTCATATTCAGAGTTCAAGAGACTAGGAATGACGTTTCCAGGACTCGAATCGTTTGCAGCAGTGGTGCACGGAGATAAAGGAATGTGAGTAGAGTTAGTCGTGGAGATAGACAAATTAGGGGGTGTAGGAAGGATTTAATTTTGACCGATTCGGTCTCGTGTGCTGTTACGGGTATGAGGGCGGTTGACACTTCCCGGCTGCCCACACCATGGAAGAGCGTTTCTTGAGGAACCTGGAAAGGAAGATAGATTAGTGTTGGTCTTGGAGACCTGGGAGCGTGACCGCAGAGCCCAAGGGACAACTGCTTGAGGCCGGTCACGCACGGCCTTTTTATGAGACGTTGTTTGAGGATTAGCACCGTTCTTAAAGGCCCTTAGTGGGCACCCTTACCGACGGAGACGGGAATCCGTGAGGTAGAGTGAGGTGTGACATTTTTAGGGTCGACCTTTTCTAACCCTTCCTTCCTTGTGAGAAGGTAGCATCGCTGCAGATGCTGGTTGTCCGAGGGAAAAACCTTACTGCTGTCACACATCTCTGCAGTTAGCAGTTAGTAATAGGTAGGTAGTTATCTGAGTATAGCTGCAGCAAGCGGTTACTATTAACCTAGACTTATCTGACTGACTGAGGCCATCAGCACTGATGAGACTCCCAAGATAAGTGAAGCGGTCTACACGCTCGACTACTTCACTCCCTATCACTAGTTCAGGTGCCGATGCAACCCAATCTTGAAACAACATTTTGCATTTCGAGGGCGAAAACCGCATCCCGAACATGCTTGCATTGTTGCTTAGGGTAGTCAGAAGACTGCATTTTGTCAGCGTCTTCACCAAGTAGGACAATGTCATCGACATATTCTAAGTCAATAAGCGAGCCACCTGGTAAATGGTCTACTCCTGAAAATTCAGATGAGGATAAGGTTATTTCTAGGAGCATGTCTATGATAAAATTAAACAAGAATGGAGAGAGTGGACATCCCTGACGGACACCACTTGAAGTGAAGAATTCCGGTGACAGTTCGCCATAAGCTCTCACTCGACCACTGGTGTTCGAGTAGAGAGCTTGTATGAGGTTAATGTACTTGTTTGATACACCTTTCAATAATAGACACTGCCACAGAACCTCACGATCCACTGAGTCCAACGTCGCTTTTAGGTCCAGGAACACAGCTGTTGTCGGACGTCTAAATGTATGTCTATGTTCCAGGACCTGTCGTAGTCTGAATATGTGATCTATACAGTCACAGGCTGGTGTGGATTATCTCGTTGTTGATATTTTTGACTGAAATTTGATCAGTCTTGTTAAGTAGATAGATATTCTGTGCAGATCGCCTTATTATAGTTAAGTTAATAACACAATGACGTTTGAAGCCAATAGTATTGAGTTTGAATCTCGCAGTGGACATTAACTGTAGGATTTAGGTGCATTCTACTGATGAGTCCTAAAGAGGACGAAATGAGCGTCCTGAATTCAGTTACTAGCCATATTCCATCTACTCTCTATTATTATTATTATACTAAAATTTTTGGTTAAATTTACTTCACTTCATTAATGAACACCGTTTGGGTCACCGATACGCACTGCCGAGAAGTCTCATACTAAAATGGAACAGCTCTCTAGTGCTCTTAGGGTTTCAATGGTTATCAAACTAAGGTAAGCGGCTATAAAGTAGGTTGTAAAACTCAATGAACTCAAGCGACATTGTAAATATTACTGATATTGTTGTTTGAACAAATTTTTAAATGATTGACATACCCAACTAATGCAACACGAGGAGCTGAATAAGAGGTGGCATGTTGAAAACCTATGGGGAAACAAGCTCTTTTCGTATTTTCTTGAATTGATACTACTGATGGTATGGAAAATGAAGTCGGTTGACTATCATTATCGATAGTTTTTGTTTGCTTATCAAAATAATCGATAACACGGGCAAAACACTGCCCCATCTTATTAAAAATTGTACCGATTTGTGACGTCGATTTATTAGGTTTAGTCTAATAAAATACAGAAAAAAAACACATATTAGTCAAGAGAAAATAAGGGATCAGAATGAAATTGGATATAATTCGGCAAACAGAAAAAGGTATGACGCAACTATTCAACGTCTTAATACTTAACAACAATAGTACTTTAGCTCTAATGTACCGAATTTAATGAAATACTCAAACATAGAGATTTCAAAATCGAACCTTGGATAGAAACATAGGTTCCAGGTATAGTGTAAGAGAATCACATTACATTTAATGAAGTGTTCATAAAATTAATTTAGAGAAACTCTTCATATGCTTTCATGAAAACATATAATAGAACAAATCAAAGGATTTCAAAACTTACTAAACAGTAATTCAACTCTTGAATAAAATCGGAATCTTTTAAATTCATGAGACGATCAGCTTCATACGAAGTAGTACTCCAAACCAATGATGAATATTCTTTCGACAACTTTTACATAAATGAGAAAAGAGGTATAACCAGAGTATTCTGTTAGTTTCGCAAACTTTCAAACGTAAACCTGCACAAATAATTTATAATTCATCTAAATCTTTATAATTACACTAAAAAGTAATCAATAAAGACGATAATTGTCTCCAACGATTATCGATATAATGAGAAAAAATATTTGGGTAATGGTTTCACAAATATTAGATCTCACATTAGAAAACTGATTGTCAAAATAGACACACAAATGAATATAAATGTTTAACATTGCAATCTAAAATTTTTAGGTTGTTTAATCAAAATATATGTAGATGTTTTCTCAACTGTTTGACTAATTGCATAGAAGTTCATTTCATTTATGTTTCACAAAAATTATGAACCCATCAATGTTAGATCACTACTCAAAAACCTGGAAGCACTGTAGAGACATATTCCGTCAGGAGTGCGCATCCACAACCCCAGACGCTTGTTTATCAATTTATATAAAATTTAACTACAATACCACTCAACAATAATTAAAGCATATTGACTCAATGAAAATTTCAGAAAAGAATCAACTAGTATCAAGAAACACTTAGATCATAACGATTATTTATAAAAGCATTGAAAAACGGAAGATATATTGTAAATGTATAATATTTATCTAGATCAAGACAATCCTATTTCAATCACATCAATTTGTTAAATAGTGAATACTATGTCAATATTGAAAAGTCGTGGCAAGTAGCTAAGAGAGTATGTGAATCCAAACTTATAACACTTTAATAAGCTGCCACTAAAACATTGTAGGTGAATTGCATTTACTCATCAAAATAAATTCGGCTATTTTGCAATGTTTTGTAATCTCAACATTTGCTATTTATCTGAAATTTAATTAGATAACAATACAGAAGTAAAAATTACTATAATTCGGATTCATATATCGATTTTCAACGTTTTCATACAATCATACAAAAATACATACAATCAAGATGTATTAAACATGATGATTGGCTTTTTTACAATGAAAATCTGAACTGTTTATGAGAAACAGAACCAATAATTTTGTCGAAAAAGTTGACAGCAGCGAAAAAACCTTGATTGAGTTTTAATAAAGATATGCACACTATAATTGATGCACTTACGAAATCATATCCTAAACGGATTTTCTACCTTTTAATTCACTGTAAATCACTATTCTCACCACCCGAAATCTCATCTTGTATGAATAAATTCAACTTTAACAAAACTTATGTAACTGATTTTGTAGTGGTTGTATTTTTAAGTAACTTTTGCTTGCTTTTTGGCATACATAATTTAAAGTTTACTCTGTAATTACAAGAGTAAACATTCTTACATTAATTGATTTATTAAATTATATAACATTCGAAGGTTATTTTTATTCTATATAAACCAATCTGTCTAAATGAAAGATTTATGTGATGAAAATGCATCCAATGCGAAAGTGATTGAATATAGATATGATTTATGTATATAGGCTGCGTAGACGTTATAATCAAAACAAAACAAGTGAACGAGCGAAGTCTTCGGGAGACTACACTGTTAGTGAATGCAATTGATTCACATACATAAGCCTATTTCGGAGACGATTAAGCTTGTTAGCCCTGACGGAGCACAAGACACTGAGCAGCGTTCTCCAAACTACTCTGTACTGGGCCTTCCTTTCAATTTCTCAATTGCTGTTCATTCTTTTCATGTCCGATTCCAATTCTCGGTGCAATCCGTTTTGTGGTCTTCCTCTTGCCTTCGGTGTTAGTTGAGAGTTGTTTTGAGTTCCGGATGTTCTCCAATTGTAGAAATGCTGTCCTTGCTCTGCCAACTTGTGCCTCCAAATCTGCATCAAGTCCCGCTTGTTTATCAATGATGTCCTAGTAGTAAAAGTTTGCACATCTTACAATGATTCTTCACCGAGTGTTTTGATTGGTGCATGTTGTGTTGTATCGGAGGGTCTTGCTTTTTCCCTTGTGTATATTGCAGAGACAGTTGCTACACTGGCCGTCTTCACATGTATTTGTTGCTGTGTGTGGCATATTTATTCAGCATTCATAAAAGAATGATTAACCTCACACTGTGATGGCTAGGTCCACGGCTCTAAATCAATCGCTTTCAGTTATCGAGGAGTTCACTATAAACCATTATCATTTAGCTAGATATATCAGGGAGTTTTGAAAGTTTCTTAAATAAAGCTGGCGGTAATCTTGAATCAATAATAGCTCACTCACTTCAGTTGAGATCAAATTAACAAAATAATAATAATAATCGTAACAATAATTTTGGTGCAAAAGGAAACATAAACATGCAGTAGATAAAATGAAAATTATGCATGTGAATGTAAAATTGTGAGACAACATTAAACTCAACGAGGATGATCACCTACTGGTAGTAATGCGATTGGGCCAGTTGGAAGAAACCTTTGCCAAGCGACAGATTCATCATTACTCTAGTGATGTAAATCGAAAAGCGATTTAAAAATTTATCGACTCATTAATGATATACATAAATTAAATAGATGTGCAGAGACAATCTTAAAACTAGCAGATTATCTTAGGATAACAATAATACTCATTTCATAAAACTGACTTTGGAGATAATAAATAGATATTGTCCATTTAGTTGGTTTGTTACTTGTGATAAGAAAATCTAGAACCTGGATTGTGTTGTCTTAAATCTCAGTCACAACGTACAACTTGGTTAGTACGAACATCATTTCAAGTTGCCACACAACAATAGCACAAAGAAATGGAATTTTCGGGGCCAAATCCCAGACTGGTAGAGTGAGTAACAGTATCATTGATAATAAAAACTTTACACATCTTTGATACGGTTAAAAAAAATACACCAGTGAAATAAAAATGTGAACAATGCGTGAAGAATTCAAAATCGTGGCATTTGTGAGAAGACAAAGAATGCATACACCTGCTTCACAGCTAACGATTTTGAGGTATATCATCCACAGTCTCTAACCAAAAGTTACGACTGTCTCACACACCGCAGAACGGTAGTCTACACCGACTAACATGGCTCAGTCCAGTAATTGATGACTTAACAGATTTGTGGCATGTTCTGGTTTCGCTGCTTCTAGCTATATTCCAGCCTACTCCTACATCACAAAAGACCGCTTGTCGGAGCAGTCAGTGACTGGGTATTGGTTAAATATGTCCCAACTACATTAGATTTACCACTCCATAAATTGATTTGCCACCTTGACCTGACACAACTTCTAAATCAAGGATTGGTTACTCAATGGTATGATAAAACGCTATCAATGCTGCGATAATACATATGATCAAATACCAGTAGCCTACGAAAATCCTCTTTCCTTAATGACCATGTTTCACACTCGCAAAGTAGAACTAAGTGAATTTCTGTGCAGTCAGTCAGTCAGATGCAACGTAGAACTTCGTACGTAAGTACATCAGTTCATGTCGCCATACCACATCAGCACAGAGATTTAATTGTCAATTCAAATCCAATATTAGAAGAGGTAGTAAGGGTATTAGAAGTAATCAGAGAGGTTAGGATTAGAAGATATTATTCAAGAAGTATGATTCAGTGAGAAAAGTTTAGAAAGTCAAAAGTAGAGGGGTTAAAGAATCCAGAGGATTAGGATTTGAGAGAACACAGAGAATAAATGCACCGGCGCCACTGCAAACGATTTTGAGCCATGTCATTCAGGGTCTTAGCCATCGATTTTATCATCTTGCGGACCCCAACCAGGTAGTCGACACCTACCGACATGACTCAGTCCACTTGTCAATGACTTCATGGATTTATGCCATGTTTTGGTCTGGCCGCCCTTAGCTTTCGTCCAACCTATTCCTACATCACAAAATATAGCTCGACGAGGCAGTCGGTGGTTCGGCATAAACAACACATGTCCCAACCACCTCAACTGATAAAGTTTCATTATTTTATCTATTGATCTGCCATTCTTAACTAGCACCCGATTCCTAATAACAGTGTTGCTCACTCGGGTGTCCCAGGATACACGATCAATGCTTCGAAGACACCTATGATCGAAAACCAATAACGGACGAATATTTTCTACTCTCACTGGCCATGTTTCACAGCCATAAAATAAGACGGATCGAACTACTGCGCAGTACACTCGACGTTTAGTCAGCAAACGGATATCTCGCCTACGCCATTAGTGACGTAAGTTTGCAAAAGCCAATCAAGCCTTCTGTATCCGTGCTGAGACTTCGTCAGTCACCAGGCGATCAGCACTGATGAGACTCCCAAGATAAGTGAAGCAGTCTACACGCTCGACTGCTTCACTCCCTATCACTAGTTCAGGTGCCGATGAAACCCAATCTTGAAACAACATTTTGCATTTCGAGGGCGAAAACCGCATCCCGAACATGCTTGCATTGTTGCTTAGGGTAGTCAGAAGACTGCATTTTGTCAGCGTCTTCACCAAGTAGGACAATGTCATCGACATATTCTAAGTCAATAAGCGAGCCACCTGGTAAATGGTCTACTCCTGAAAATTCAGATGAGGATAAGGTTATTTCTAGGAGCATGTCTATGATAAAATTAAACAAGAATGGAGAGAGTGGACATCCCTGACGGACACCACTTGAAGTGAAGAATTCCGGTGACAGTTCGCCATAAGCTCTCACTCGACCACTGGTGTTCGAGTAGAGAGCTTGTATGAGGTTAATGTACTTGTTTGATACACCTTTCAATGATAGACACTGCCACAGAACCTCACGATCCACTGAGTCAAATGCCGCCTTAAGGTCCAGGAAGACAACTATTGTAGGACGTCTAAATGTGTGTCTGTGTTCCAGGACCTGTCTGATTGTGAAGACGTGGTCTATACAGCCTCGTACAGGTCAAAAACCAGACTGGTTTTCTCGAGTTTGCTCTTCATGAGCTTTCGTTGAGCGCCGAAGTATTACTGAGGCCAATATTTTAGATACCATAATAGTTAGACTTATTCCCCTGTGAGTGTCACGAGAAGACTTCTGTCCTTTCTTATAGATTGGGACAATCAGTGATTGAGACCAGTCGGATGGGATTACGTCCAGTTCCCAGATTCTACCTAAGATCTCAGTCAACCTAGCTGATAAAACTGGACCACCATCCTTAAATATCTCAGGGGTCAGTCTATCAGGACCTGCAGCTCTCCCTCTCTTCAGATTTCCTAACGCTTTTTCAACTTCATTAAGACTAGGGGGACTTACGTCGATTTGCCATTCAGGATGAATGGAGATCGTGGGTAACCGAAGAGTGGCTTGAGGCCAGGTGAACTGATCCCTAAAGTGTTCTGCCCATCGATCCAGTCTCCTGGATTGAGAATAAATAATAGTCCCGTCATTTTCTGAGATAGTCTCACTTACACTAGGATTCCTAATACCAGTTTCCTTGATAAGTCGGAAAAGTTGTCTACTGTTGCCGATCGCCGCTGCCTTTTCCATCGCTTTCGCTTTCGCCACCCACCACTGTTTGCGGTCGTTACGTAGGCTTTTTATCAGCCTGCGCTTAAGCTGACTTCGTTCTTCATCATGTTCAGAGCAAAATGGGATGAGTTTTCGGGTATCCATCAGATAGGTGGATGCTACTGAGATCCATGGCTTCATTCTAGCCTTATGGTCAACCTTACTAGCAGATATCACTGCTATTTCCACAGCCTTTTTGATATCATTCCAACCTGCCTCCGGATGGGAATCGCTTAGATGGTCGCCTGTCTTTCTAGTTGTTCCTGAAATATATTCTTCGCCCTATCGTCATTAAGTGAAACCCTAAGAGTCTTTCTTACGGTGTCTTTCCTACGCCCAGTAAGCTTCAAACAAATACGCACTCGCACTAGGGCATGATCTGAATCCAAACATGTGCCCCAGAAAGAGCGACAGTCTTCTATCGAACCCCTCCATCTGTGGCTGATGGCAATGTGATCTAGTTGGGTCCAACGTTGAGACGACTTTGGAGGTCGTCGGGTGAACAGATGCTTTTCCTTATGCCTAAAGTTAGTGTTTGCTAAGAATAGGCGGTTGTCTGAGCATACTTGCAACAGACGGTCACCATTGTCTGTTCTTTGAGCCGCGACACCATAACATCCACCTAGATGTCTTTCATTTTCACTTAGTCTACCTACTTGAGCATTAAAGTCACCAGCCATTATTACTATATCAGAGCGCCTAGCTTTTTGGAGGAAGTCCGAAAGCTTTGTGTAAAACTCATCTTTAACCTCGTCTGAACTGCAGTCAGAGGGGACATAGGCAGATACGACGAAGAGACAACGGCGAGTGTCCCTATCCTTACGAGTCCTTACTTTCCCATTTAGTCGGACAGCGCACAAACGACTATCTACAGGGATCCAGTCTAGGAGAGATTGTTCAGCTCTACGACTCAATGCTACGCCTACGCCAGAAAGACCCCTGGAAGCGGCATCAGGGCTTCCAGATACACGAAGAGTAAATCGTGCTGCTTCTTTATTTTGACAAGGTGAAATCAGATTAATAATTTTACTAGGATCCTGTATGCGCGTTTCCGAGACTCAGCTCACATCGATGGCACGAGATTCTAAAGTCCTAGCTAATGATGCCTGTTGCCCTATTTGAAACAATGTCCGTACAATAAATGCTCCGATATGTAGTCTAGAACAAGGTTTCAAGAGACCAGGAATGACGTTTCGTGAACAAGCATCGTTTGCATTAGCGGTGCAGTCAGATAAGGGAATGTGAGTAGAGTTAGTAGTGGAGATAGACAAATTAGGGGGTGTAGGAAGGATTTGATTTCGACCAATTTGGTCTCTCGTGCTGTTACGGGTATGAGGGCGGTTATCACTTCCCGGCTGCCCACACCATGGAAGGTTGTTTCTTGAGGAACCTGAAAAGGAAGATAGATTAGTGTTGGTCTTAGAGACCTGGGAGCGTGACCGCAGAGTCCAAGGGACAACTGCTTGAAGCCGATCACGCACGGCCTTTTTATGAAAGGTTTTTTGAGGATTAGCTCCGCTCTTAAAAGCCCTTAGTGGGCACCCTTACCGCCGGAGACGGGAATCCATGAGGTAGGATGAGGTGTGACATTTTTACTGCTGTCACACATCTCTGCAGTCAGCAGAACAACTTCGCCCTCAGACCTTCAGTAGCTGCTTTTAGTCTGATCGTTCTCCAATCGACCTGCCTGGCATGGTAGGACCTGCAGGAATATATGTTCCAGCCAATATAGCTCGGTTTGGTCATCACGATAGGCAAGCCCGACCACCACGTCAAGGTAGCAGCTACGGTCGGGCAGAAGACTGGTCTTTTAGTTAGCAGAAGGGCATCTCGCCAATGACATAAGTGACGCAAGTTTTCAAGAGCTAGTACCAAAGCTGAGATTCCGTTAGACACCAGGCCATCAGTACTGGTTAGACTCCCAAGATAAGTGGAGCGGACGACATACTCAACGACTACACTCCCTACCACTAGTTCATGTGCCGAGGCAAGCCAAGCCGAAGCCTAATTTAACTCCGCTTGTGGACCGCCAGGGGCTACTGACGGTCCAAAGCTTGAATAAAGAAGGAGGGTTGGGCTTTGGGTTAGCGACCCTAGCCGGAAAAAAATAACTCGCTAAAAAACGCTAACAAGCAAAAATAATCCAAACCATATAAACTCTGATCTGGGAGTTAAATCTTCATTCAGAAGAGTTGTGATGAGAGCCGAGTTCCTTCGGAAGTCACTAGTACGACGAGGAGCGCAGTCAGCTTAGGCGCAGGCTCATAAAAAGCCTACGCAATAATCGCGAACATTGGTGGGTAGCGACTTCAAGAGCAATGATATGTAACAGTAGACAATTTTTCCGCATTATCAAGTATACTGGTACTGGGAATCCATCCGTTAGCGAAACAATCTTGGAAAAGGACGGTTGTGCCATTCATTCTCAACCCAGGAGACTAGATCGATTGGCAGAACACTTTAGGGACCGATTCAACTGTCCTTCAACCACACTTCGGTTGCTCACGATCTCCAGTCATCCTGAATAGCAAATCGATGTGAGTCCATTCATTCGCCAATTCGCTTGCTTGCTTGCTTTCCGGCGCTCGCATAACGATTTTATCTTTGAGTGCTTGTAGTCTGCTGATCTATTTGTGGTGTGCCAAAATAAACATATTCAACACTTCGAGTTCACCTTCTGATTTATAAACCGTCAGACGCTATTTAGTAACGATTGCCTAGACGAGCTTATTACGAAGCCTAAGAACATGTTGGATACCAACCGTCACGAAACTACTGATACCTTGCACACCACATAAATAAAAGCAACGAATTAGAGACAAGGTCAAAAGACGAGTCGGACGAGTCATGTGAGCTAAACATTGAATGACTCACTACAATACTTCGGATCCGTTGGCCAGACAACATCAACAATCTACTGTGGGATAGAACAAACCACATTGCAGTGTAGGAAGAAACCAGGAAGAAGTACTAGAAGTGGATGGGACACACACTGCGAAAAGCACGCAACTGTATCACAAGACAAGCCCTCACTTAGAAACCCGAAGGAAAAATGAAAAGAGGAAGGCCAAGAAACACATCACACCGAGAAATAAAGACAGACATGAGAAGAATGAACAAAAATTGGAAAGAACTGGAGAAGGAAGTCCAGGACAGAGTAGGTTGTAGAATTTTGGTCGACGGCCTATGCTCCATTGGGGTAACAGGCGTACGTAAGTTAATTGTCATATTAGCGATAGAATATATGTTTCCCTAACCCCTAAGAAACAAGTTATGATTCTCTCTAAAGTTTATAAACTGAAGATAAAATTGCAGTTACTTACAGTGAACATCGACACCAAAGCTTAACATAAATGAATAAAGTGAATAAATTAGTATTATTGAACCTAGGAGTTAGGCAATCAAGTTTAGTTTGAATTTAGCATTTCTAATACGATGGAGAAATAAGAAACAGCGAAATTAGTTATACCATAGAAATATTTTTATAGCCTCTTATAACTTCGCTTTCGTCACTTAATTTCTCTAAACCTAATATTTAAGTAACTGTTAAATCTTACCTGTTCTAATTTTAAAGTGGCTACAATAGCTTTTTGATTATGATTCCAACCGATTGTATGAATATCAGCCGCTTTACGAACAAGTGAATTGAATCCATCAGCACCAATCTACGATGCAAATAAATAAAACCAAATATTAATCATAAAATAAGCAATACACAGTAATACATCCGATATTTTGTTTTTTAAAACATAAAATGTTATGTAAAAATAAACTTCGGACGCCACTCTAGTATTTTCGTTGCAAAAACGTCAGTTTGTCTATAATTCCTGACTTTACTATCTAAAGTACTAAAGGAATCACTTTTTTTTGTTCAGAGTCAAATTTACCACAAAAGTTATTTCTAAGTAATCGCAATTGATAAAAGAGGTTATTTTTAGTACCAAAGTAATAACGAAGGTTGTTTGATATTTTAAAGTTTTATCAGTCGAAAAATGAAAACGAGACATTTAAATACGCTTTACAGTATAAGCGTTTGTACTAAAATATATACATAAACGTCTCAAGAAAGTTTGTTGATACAAATTAGTGATAGAACTTTGTTTACTTGAAAAGATAATAGTGGATAAGAAGAGTTTTAGCACATAATTCGAAATGGACAGTAAATTCATGTATAACGTCATATTTGTCAATAAAACGAATGTAGACAGAGAATAAAGGATAAGTAAAGGTAAACTTGAAAACATACAATGTAAATTTTGGAGATTGCGGCAAAAGCATTTAATGTGGTTTATTAGTATATCCTATTTTTTTCTGTATAAACTGGCAATATATATGTTCAATCTCTATGAGAACACGAGTGAATCGACTATTATTTGATAGAATGAACGTATCCACACACACCCATAGATAATGAATATTTTTGTACCACAATTTGTAAAGAAACATGGACAATCTAGAAAAATGTCGTTCGTGCTTTTCTATCGATTTAGAGTTTTTACACTGTCATCACTTATATCTGAAGCAAATCATATTCGGAAACATGACCAGAATATGACTTTATTTTGGAGCGCTGGATAAAGGCAGATCACTATTGTACCGAACCCATTGATGAAAGTATTAACTTCAGCGATAACAACTGACGTAAATAGAATATCAGAAGGTAAATGAAGACTTATAAAACTGTGAAACCGCTTACAAATTAATAATTTGAACTTCCATTCCCAATAATTGAGGATGGATGGAACTACTCGGATGATAAAACTGAGGTCAGTGAATTAGAATCTAGACATCGAACTCTTCCATAACAAAAGACTGTCATTTCGAGATGCAAATTATTGTATGAATTTCAAAGTATGAATGATTTATATTTTAGACGAAATAGTATATGTGAACTGTGGATCTTAAAATTAGCAGATTAGTGCTTACAATAAAATGTTGAGCTCACCATAAATAAAACATATAATTTAAAAAGTGTAATAAATATAAAAGCTTTTAGTATGTAATTTTGTGCGAATAAAAGTTTCATTTATTCAAGTAAAGTACTGAAAACATTTATATAAGTAGAAAACATGTATTTATTTTATTATACCGATTTCGGTATATGAACAAAATAATCTGATTATATGGGTTATTTTTAAGACGTGCCAACGTCTATTTTAGACAAAACAAGACGAAACGGATACCAGGTACAATTCTATATTACTTGAAAGTAAAACATCATCGTGTGGCTCATGAGTGTTTTTATGTCCCCTTGTAATTATGTTTATGTTCGAATAAACATTGCTCAAGAAAGCCCTCAGATTTTCTTGATTAGTCAACCGACTATCTAGTTATATTTTTTGTAGCAGCCCTGGTTAGCTGGCGAACAAGTAGTCTTTTCAGATGAATGTCAAGTGGTTATTTGACATGTCTTAATCTATCTCGAAAATCTGATTGGTGAGACATGCAAAAAATTTTAAAATTACTAGCTCACCGAACGGTAGTCCGTTGTGTAATAAATTAACTCTGGCAACCTTGGTCACTGAAGGTAGAACATATATTTATTGTACATATTTAATGACAAAATTTTCAAAAGTATTTCTCACGTGAAGTCAAATCAATAACTGAACGACACCGAGGTTAGGTTCAGATGTTAAGGGGAATGTAAACGGGGTTGTGAATCTGCACCAAGTGAAGTCTTGACAAGCCGAATCACTATATGAACTAATGACCAATGCTGGTTAAAATGGAATTACACTAGAAACGATGTTGAAATATTCATATCAAGCTGTCTCACGTCTATGAAGTATTCGACTAATATAGACTTCCAGTGAGATTCCCAGTGTAGTAAGGTCCACTGGTTAGATATCCCAAAACGGCATCACCCAAGACCGATCTTAATGCAGAATATATTTTCGTGTACTGGTTCTTAATCTATCTGATTGCTTTAGATCCATCTCATATTAGAAGTGTCGTCAAAAATACTTATTTTGGACTGAACAATCTACAAATTATCAGATTTATTATCTGTAATTTATTTCTCATTCTCAACCAATATTCTTTTTGTTAATCTCCAAATACGTAGAACTACATAGTTAATATGCAGCTTAGGAATACTTGTTCTCTGAGTATTAATTATTTATTGAAGCCTGTTACTCCTGATGGAGATTAGGACACCGACCAGTATTCTCCAACCTACTCTGTCCTGAGCCTTTCTTTCAAGTTCTATCCAATTTGCGTTCATTCTTCCCACATCTGTCTCCCACACTAGGCATAACGTGTTATCTAGTCTTCCTCTTCTCCTTTGGTCTTGAGGATTGTAAGTTAGGGCTTGCCTTGAGATGCGGCTCCGAGATTTCTACAATGTGTCTTATGTACCTTCCGAATTTCTTCTTCAGCTGCAATCTGGATCGTTTTCTCCCATATTAGCTTGTTGCTGCTGGCGTCTGGCCAAAGGATCCTCGGTATCTTGAGTAGAAAACTGTTAATAAACACCTGTATCTTGTGGATGGCGGCTTTTGTGGTTCTCAAAGTTTCCGCTCTAGACAGTAAAACTGTCTTGATAATTGTATTGGAAATTCTGCCTTTGGTGTTGGTTGGCTGTTGTTTTGAGTTCCAGATGTTCTTCAATTGTCAAAATGCTGCCCTTACTTTGCCAATTCGTGCCTTCAAATATGTACCAGATCCAGCCTGATTGTAAATGATACTACTCAGATACGTAAAGTTTCCCACATCTTTCGAAGCTTTTCCATCAAGTTTGATTTGACTAGTGCATTCTGTGTTGTATCGGAGAATTTTGCTTTTTCCCTTGTGTATATTGAGGCCTACTGTTGCAACACTGGCAGCCTTTATATCCCAGGGAATGGTAAAGAATTATTAAGGATATACATAAAGTACTAAAGTCAAAAATTATTTTAGACACAAATAATACTATTTCTCCAGGAAATCAATGAATAATCAACATACAAGTAGATCCGTTTCGACAGTTTCACGATTTTTCTGTGTTTTTTGTTGAACGTCTACATGAACTAAACGTTCTGGATGATTAAGAGAGGGTAGCTGGATATTTTCAGCCTGCGTTTCATATAATATTGTCAAATTTGAAGAATGATTAATAGATTCTAAACAATTACGGAGAGATTCGATAACTAAATCGTTTTCTACTATATATGCCAATGGATTGCGTTGAAACGTCAGGTAAGTGTTCGACCTTGTTTCCCATACCTAAATATATGTGGAAAATAAATACACCAAAATGAGTCTAGTGTGAAAAATAAAGATAATTGACAGTACGAGCAAACAAATTATAGTAAACATGAGAATTTCAGTATTATAGACCAGGAGACACAATTTTCTGTAATTACGTATATGCTGTATGTTGATTAAAAGCTGCCCAACTTAATATACTAAAATAAAAACATGGAAAAACAGAGTAATCTTCTTTCTGAAAAAGGTTTCGGATGAAACTTAGTAGGGTCGAAAATATTGTTAAACAGTTTGAGGCATCGAATATTCTGTGAAAGAAAATAAAAATTTTCAAAGGATAATTTACAAGTAAATGAAGGACAAGAGTCTAGTCCATTCGCAACCATAAATTCATATGAGTTGTGTTAAAGGTTTGAAAAGATTGAGCTTTCTGTATATTTTAACTGCTACAATGTTTTAACTTTATTTACTATCTGTCAACTCACCAGGTGAAAACATGTAGTGATAACTATGAATGCAATAAGTTGTAATTATTTACTTGTCTTGAAATCAAATTCATGTACTTTCCAAGTAGAGTATACGCGTACAGGAACAGCTGAGATTTTCTTTACTCACTTTCAAAAAATCAACATAGTGCAAGCAGGCAAATTTCTGAGTTCCAATTTTATTTACAATCCTTTAATTGACAATTATGAAAAATATTGTATTTGAGAATTGGTGGTTCAGAACGAGCACTGTTAACAGTAGACAGTACCAGCAAATGAGGCCACTGACTGTTCACATAATCCATGTAGAAAGGCGCAGGTTATCGAGTTTAGGTCTGATAGGTAGTCACAGATGTTTTGTAGCATATCTAGAGTTTGGTATCAGTGAAGTAGATACGTTCTATTATGTTGCGCGGCGTCTGAGATCTGAATGTGAAATACCCTAACTCCCCAGCTAAAGAAAATGGCTACTTGAGTGAGAAAGCAAAAGCAAGAAATTGAACTGAGACATTATTCTACTTCATTATGATCAGGGGCATATTTGAACTGGAAAAATGTTTCGAACATTAGAAATACGTAATGGTAGAAAAATGAGATATTTTACATACTTTCATTTTATTTACAGGCTGAAAACGGAAAGATTGAATAAATTTCCACGCACCAATATCTAAGAGGAGTGTGATTACACGAATACTAAAATGTGTTACAATGTACTTTTAAGCATATTTACGGAAAGGTCATTGAGAGCAACAACGCGATTTTCATACGTCTCTTTATTTTGATACTTTTTTTTAGGAGAACTTTCCAGCAACAATATACTTTTCTTATCAAGAAATTTGGAAGCCGCTATATAAAACAAATAACATCAATCACACAATGCAAAGATTTACCGGCAACTGCAGCCAGACCGAATCCAACCATACCACCGCCAACTATTACTATATCGTACTTCGGTAGCAGCTTCTTGGTACTGTAACTGCGGAAACTCATAGTTAAGAATTTACGATGATTGAGGATGGTCATTGGTTAAATGACTGGAAATATAAAACATGAGATAAACAAGTAAGTGTTTACGACAGAAGCCAGTGAACGGTGAAAACAAGTAAACGACAAGTCACACAAAATTCAGAAACCAGAACTAAAATCCTACATCATGAACAATTTTGGTCATTATAAATGGCTGACAAAATGCAGTCCCCTGGCTACTCTAAGCAACGATGCAAGTATGTTTGGGATGAGATTTACCCTGTTGAAATGCGAAACGCAGCTCTAGGATTGGCTGGTATCGGCATCTGAACTACTGATAGGGAGTGAAGCAGTTGAGCGTGTAGACCGCTTCACTTATCTCGGGAGTCTAATCAGTGCTGATGTCTTCGTGTCTGACGAAGTCTCAGCACGGATACAGAAGATTCGATTGACTTTTGCAAACTTGCGTTATTTATGGCATAGGCGAGATATCTGTCTGCTAGCCAAAGGACGGTTTACTGCGCATCAGTTCATTACATCGTACTTTACGAGTGTTAATCATGGCCAGTCAGAGTAGAAGATATTCGTAGGTTACTGGTTTACAATCATAGGTGTCTCCGAAGCGTTGCTCATGTATCCTGGGACAACCAAGTTAGCAATTCTGTCGTTAGAAAACAGGTCCTCAGTAAAGGTGGCAGATCAACAGATGCCGTACTGAAACTTCATCAGTTGGGGTTGTTGTGACATTTGTGTGTGCTCAACTGCTGACTGTCTAGCCAGGCGATGTTTTGTGGTGTAGGAGTAGGTTAGGATGAAGCTAAGGGCGGCTATACCAAGACATGGTACAAATCTATGAAGTCACTGGTATTTGGACTGAGTCGTTTTGGTAGGTATGGACTGTCTGGTTGGGGTCCGAGATACAATTGTTGAGAGGGTGGGTATGTAGGACCCACTTTGGAAAGTTGGAAAACCTTGATTCTGAGCTAAGGATGCACGTGAGGTCCAAAGTTCTGACAGAACGGATGGCATTTGAACCAATTTTCGGTTAGTGGCCACAAACGGACTATATCGGCTCACGTTGCTCCCGTGCCTTGTATATTTGAGTTCTGGGTCCAAGGCTCGAGGTGCGGCTTATAATGAAACACATATGAATTTCATAATATCTGTGGTGCATATTTGTACCAATATTAACGTGTCTAAGATTATGATAAATTGCATATGATATTAAACGCGTTTTTGAAGAATGGGATTTCTGAGTAAAAGCCGTGTACCTGAATAAATTCGGTGGGGAAACCCAAAACCCGTATGGATTTTCAGATATCCTACTGGCGATTCACAGCCTATTACCAATATATGTGATACTTTTTGTTGCATATCCTGAAAATTAACTCAAAAATAATTAACTCTGCCTCAAAGCCTTTAGTTAGGGATAACGATATCCCACTACAATGTCAGGAACAGAACATGAGATCAGTTGATCAGGCCACCGGTTGTTAATTCGACAACAGTAGAGGAGTGAATGCATTATATTTGGGGTTTGAAAATTCTAGGTTGAATGATAGTCGAGCAACAAATAAAACATTATGTGGTACAATACATCGAATATAAGGGAGGAATAAATGAAAACATGCGAAAAATCTTATCTTCTCTTACAGTGGGAAAATATTATACTGCCACCTAATTCTGCTTGATGTTTTAAACTGTACCGAAAGAACAAGAATCGAGAGCAGAGAAATCGATTGGTTTATACCAAGGTGTGAAAAAATAATAGTTTTAGAAACTTCCTAATTTTCCATAAATTAATGCCGAATTTCCGACATTTTCCTCAAAACCGTTCCCGTTCTTACTTAAGAACTGAGTGAACAGACTATTGTGAGTTTATATATTCTAAGCAGTAAAGTCAATTATATCCTTATGTACTTTGATAACAAAACAAGCGTTTTGGTACACCAAACTTGTTATTCAGCGACCACTTTAGGTGACGAATTTTGGACAGGTGCTACACATCCAATTCCGATTAGTACTTTGCGTTTTGCTTTCAAAGAACTTTAAAAATAATGTTTTCTGTACTCAGCTTACCTTCGCGTTCAATTACTGGAATATATAATGCACGAACGACCTTGAACTAACCACACATGTTAAATGCAGCGGCTACATCAGTTCAGACCGGCATCTGCATCCGTTCTGTCTTCCTATAAATTCTAATTCAATCCCCCTAACCTCCCCTCCCACTTGAAATTTCTTTCACCGGGTTATACTTCTTGAATCATATCTTCGATTCAGAATCATTCCGATTCCCGCTAATTCTGCCACAAGGCTTACTACTATGTGATTTGAATTGACAATCCGATCTGTGTGCTAACGTAGTACGGAAACTTTAACTAATGCACCTCCTTGCAAAGTTCTTTCTTTTAGCATGTCTACTGTCCGATCAAATATGTACTCTGTAGTTTAAATTTTTGGTAGCCTTCTGAAACGAGAGATATTAATTTTGTAGATTTGTTTATAATTTTTCATATTGTTTTGGTCACGAATGTTCGAGTTATGTCTTTTTTATGTAACGATTGATCAGTCTTCCTTTAGTGGGTGATGGAATTTGTATGAATTTTACTCTGATGCTCTTTTTTGAAAGCAGATTTTAAAATTCACTTGGTTATCTTCATAAGCTTTAGAAACTTCTGTCGGTTCGCTGATTGTCTTTTTTCCAATCGAGACCATTTATTCGCCGCCTACTTGTCCTGAATTTTACAGGCCGTGTGTCTCTGACGATCTGCCCCAGAGACGGACAGCCCCATAGTTCTCACTGCTAAATTGGGTCAACAAAAGTTTGTATCTTTTGCTTTGAAAATGCGTAGAATGCTGCATTGGAAAGCTTTTATTCATCCACTGTGTTGTCGAAACCTAGGATTTGGAGGTGACTCAGGAATCATGAGATTGATTGAGTACCTAAAGTTAATGACCGATATTGGGAGAAAAATATAAAATTTTAATTCAATACGTATTAACTTCTTTTGTGTTACCGAAATCGTATTATTTCTCTAAGTTATGAAGATGAAAATGTTTTCATAGTAGATGAGGTGAAAATTTATCTTCCCTGTCATACATATTAAGGTAAGAAATCTTGATGCCTAAATATTAAGTTCGCAATATTTTCAAACGTCTGAGGCAGATAGATAATAGTTTCGCCTTGTAGTTTGCAAATAGTCACGGCATGTTTATTCGGCCACACCTTTTATATTCTACAAATATTCTTGCAGACTATTTCAATAATGCAGACTACATTGTATGAAAGACCGAGTCGAAAACCGCAAAGTATATTCAGAACATACTTGGAGAAACTCACATGTTCGGATGTGCGTACTTACAACCTATAACTGGATATCTTCATCTCCGTACAAATGTTTCTGGTAAATAAACGCTGTCAAAATAAACAGAAGTTCTGGAATTCGTTATCAATATTTTCTTGATCCATCGTAAATAAATATATTGTAACCTTAGAACGGGTCTTTACAGTTTCATTTTAACCACATCCAAAATGTGGGTTGAACCTGAGTTTTCGTGGTCGTTAACAGCTTACTTCAGAAAATGGTCCGTTAAAATATATGGTTCAGAATTCAATCAAGCCAGAAAAGGCAAAGCAATAATCATAATTTCTAGTCGCAAATATGAAGTTTGACTGAATTCGATTATTCACACCTTAGCATAAGCAGTATGAAAATAATCTGGGATAAAGATCGATTTCTACTTAGACTTTCTCACGAGCTATTCGATGTACAATAGTAGGTGACAGTTTAAAGAATGATGCGAATTTCTGCATTGGTCTGCTAAATCCTAGTGGCTTACTGTCAGATTCGAGGTAGTACTCCTGACATACTATTACACTATGGCGAATTACATGCGCACGAGAGAGAAGATGCTACATGTCCCATGGCCATGGAAATGGCGGAAGCTGACAGTAAATTATCAACACCAAGCAGTCAGAGACATCATCAAGAATGCTGTTCTAGACAGAGTACCTCAGTCACACCAGACACCCAGAAATAGAAGAATATGGATTAGGCGAAAAGCAGATCATAGCACAGGTTAAAGGTCTCATGAAGGATAGCGACTGTAGTTCTTACTTGGCATTGAGAAACAGATGCAAAGCCAAAGTTTGAAGTGATAGGAGACGCTTTCAGATGGACCTAGATGTTAAAATACAAGCAAACCCTAAACATCTGTTTAGGTTCATGACTAAAAGAAGGCCTACGAATCACAGTATGTGCTCCCTCAAAGGTCTGAATATAGAGGATCTCACTAATTTTGAGATGACTGAGAACTTCCGCACCGAATTTACCGACCAGTTAAACCAGGTATACAGAATGCTACTCAAACTCAGTGCTAGCTGTCGACTTAGGGAATATCTGAATTACTCCTAATTACTTAGTACTAAGGAAACTAAAGGATTCGACTGAGCTGAAAAAGGAATTTATGCTCATTGAGAAATGGGAAATGAAAAACTGTCTATTACTTAATCGACCAGAATGTCACTTTATGTACATTCTGCCCCACATGACGCAAACAGTGATCATCCTCAACGAGAGTCCGCTCCCTAATGTCTACTCAGGGAATGATCCTGGTTTAATAACCACTAAAAGCCTCCACACAAGCCCAAACTATATAGAGGACATAGCCAGGGCTAATGCGACTCTTCACGTCAAGAAAAGACAACTTGTCCATATCACCCCACAATTATTCCTAACATTATTTAAGACAGACATTCCCCCACACGTGGAGGTTCAAAACGTCATCGCACGTCCTCTACTCAAAAGAGAAATAGATCTCTTGGCTAGAGTGTGGAGACAAGCAACGGAGGTAGACCCTGGAGTACAACATATTAAGCACGACAAACCATCCCAGCGTGAGCGTCTTACCTATGCGTCACTACCAATACCTCGAGGAAACTTTCGAAAAATCGCGTATCAAAGATCGAACACTCAGGTTGATACACACTTTTTCTCATTGAGAGTCGTTGCATCTTGGAATGCTCTCTCAGATGAGAGGACCACAGTCCCCTCAGTGGACAGCTTTAAGAAGAGGCTTGATAAGCACACACAAACGCATTTTCATCTCCCCCCTTGGACCATCTGTGCTTGGTGAATGCCTTGAGACCTGCTAGTTGTTATTGCTGTCATCTCCTCATAGCACTAACTTAATCTATCTCGCTTATTATCTCTGTTTCTTCTCCCTCGCTTCTTCTATCCCCTAGCACAATCTTCACCAACGACTAATAAATCAAACTATGTAGATATTACTTAGTTCTGAAATCCTCTAATTAACATCAGAATGTTCTCCATACTACTCTCCACATTGCAAATAACTGATCTCCAGTCTGATAATTTGGTAGCTGCTGGTATCCAGCAACCCTACTGCCCTAAAACAAACGTTTTCATTCGAATCACATGACATGCAGACTCACAACCAACTGCTAATTGACTAGAACTATACAGTTAGTTGAGTGGCTAGAACCTCATTCACTACCGAACACCTGGAACAGTGCCGAAAGAACAAGAAACGAACGCAAAGAAATCGATGGGTTTATATTAGATCGTTAAAAATATATTGGGTATCAAGAGAAAAAATTCGCGAATATAATGGTGGTTTTCACATTCTACTATTTTAGGAACCAACAAATATCAGTAAACACAAGCCATTTTTGAGTGTCGCTTAAGGCCTGCTTTTTGTTTGATACGTTGGAACATATATTGATGTCGTTATAACACCGCCGCAAATTTTTGAACGTATAGGGTTCTAATGGTTGTTGCCTGTTAATATTATTAGGTGTAAGTGTAATTTTCCGGGTATTGTGATCTTATTTTTTAAGCTTTCGTTTCTCTTGCTGCTGTGCATGCTTCACTGATACACAAGGTACCTTCTGGTGTCCATTGATGCGAACCGCCATAGGATGCAATCTTAGATGGAAATGACTTCTGATTTAAAAATTACAGATCCATTGATCTTGTCGCTCAATAAAATTAATTGATTGATTGCAACTAGTTGTAATTCAGCAGTGAAAATAATCTGTGCACATCTCACCAATTCATTTACTCTAGTGTTTATTCTAGTTATCTCATGGGGTTGCTCATCACAAAGATACTCGTTAGCATTTAAACAGTATGCGAACGTTTTATTTTTTTGAACGTTATTCAGTTTTATGTGGGCGTCTTATTGTGTAAGATTGTATCATCCTTGACCTTTGAAACTAAAACTAAAATGACCAATAACTCAATCTTCACAGGACCACCCGATTGTCTTTAAAATCAGTAATAATATCATATGTCTTTACAGCTCTTACAAGTTTATAAGTAGGCAGTCATATCTGGTGGACTGGGAATTCGACTCAGATAACCACTCACCTGTTTACGTACTTAGACAAATGCACCATGATTTGTCGCGTAAATCTTATTTTGGCCTTTTTATCGTAACGAAAAGTTTTTGTTTGAAAATCGTCCTTAAAAATACTGAATGATCCTAAAATTGCTGGTTCGTGGTATACCTTTTATTACATATTTGAAAAGCTACTATTTTAATCTAGCTGCTTTCGGGGAAGTCACATATATGCTAGTCTCTTTGATCTAAGTGATCGGGCTTCAAAGCAACTGTATTTCAACTTCTTTTAGTGAAGTCATGGAACCTAATTTCTTATATGTAATGAGGCCTACATGTATGTTATTGACTTGTTTATAATGTTGATTACCGAGATATTTTGAGTTATTTCAGTTGTTACAAACTCCTTAATCAATGGTTGAGTTGTTTTATTTAGCCACGTATCTTTTTTCAAAGATAGGTCAGTATTACTGCTTTCTAGAAATTATATTTTTAGTGATAATTTTAATGATTGAGTTATTTTTTATTGATCCTGGGAGTAAGTTATTCTCTAGAGACCCACAAGAATTTTCAAGGTAGTAGTAACATAGGATTTGACATTCAACCTTGTGAGTTCCTCGATCTAAATAGTGAATATTCTGATAGTGAAAGCTGCTTCATGAATGAAAACAGAGAACACATTACACTTTCTTGGATGTTTTGTATTAAATTCAGGCTTGAGGGTTTAAGTACTTAGTGTTCGCTTATAAAGAGGCTATCGCGTCGTGTTTGGGTAAAAATTTACTGTCTCAGACAACTTAATGCAAAAGCAAAATCCTGTCATTTTTTCGACCACTGATTTGAAGCCATTTATTATTGTTAGTTTGCAAGGAAACGAAATGTTGAGTATATGAGTCCAAAATCATCTTACGCAGTACTTAACGTAATTTCAGGGTTGATTCTTGCTTGAAGAGGAGAATTAAGTGGAAGATCTAAGCGTTATGATCGTTCCCTGTAGAAGCACTAACTCAGTATCTGTCTACTAAAGATGTTTGAAAGTTATATCAGGATATCAACTGTCTGACTAAATGCTACATTTTAGATAAAATGCCGTAACTTTTGCCCTTACACTGCAAAAATTGAGATGTATTCAGTTCCACAAGTTTTGTTCGATGTAGTTCGATGTAGTAGAATCCAAGAACTCATTTTGGTTTACAGCCAATAAAAACTGGTGAAATTTCTAGAAATGTATTAGTCTATGTGTTTATGTGTCACAAACCGTTCACTAAAGATTTCAACCCTTTGGTTTGACCATATGGGACCATAAAATTTATAAAATCAAGGTGAGTTGCCTGGGTAGTTTGTTTGTACGAACACGATGCAATTTGGCTTAAGGTTCAACCAACAAACGACTAAATAGCTTAACTTATACTAGTGTATAGGACACATACTGCGGAAAGCATCCAACTGCGTCACAAGAAAAGCCCTCTCTTGGAACCCTGAAGGTGAAAGGAAAAGAGGAAAGCCAAAGAACACATTACGCCGAAAAATAGAGAAAGACATGAGAAGAATGAACAAAAATCGGAAAGAACTGAAAAGGGAAGCCGAGGACAGAGTATGTTAGAGAATACTGGTCGGCGGCCTATGCTCCATTTGGGGTAACAGGAGTAATTACAAAAGAAAAAACAATGAACTGATTGATTGTCGACGGTAGACGCTGTATGTCGTAAAACCCAGAATATTCAACAAATTATGTTAGTTTCTGAGTTTTAGAGAGCAAACTGAATGAAATTGAATCTGTAAAACTGTCAGTCATCGTTTTAATTCAATATTTCTACAATTCTGGATGTTAAGTAACCCTTAGCTATTAAAGATATTTAGTAGCTCTTAAATTTTCTTCTCTTGTTGTTGTAGATTCTTTGAATATTCAAGTGAAGGTTTATCATTCCTGTAGACGTCTTTGTGACTAATTTCTACTTGAAGCGCGAACGGAAGTTGATTAAATGTAGATATTAGTCGATAAGCCATGGAGAGTTCTACTGCTTTTTCACTTTGCATCATTCTGCATGATGCAGTAAAGGAGTTGAAAATTTTGGCAAATGTCGTTGACGTTATGCGAAAAAAAGTCAGTAGATGGATCAATTATCAAATACTTGAACCTAAATGTAGAAATGGACTAAAAATTTAAACTACTCAGAAGCCGAAGAATTTATTCTTAAACAAATGAATAAGATACTAAAGAAATACTCATTTAAATACAGTAATTTGGGGCTAATTATCGAAATTTAGGTGCAAGTTTACAGAATATGCATGTGGATATGCTCAAAGAACTACAGAAATGTTCTAAAATTACAGACTGTCCAACGACTGCATCAGTCATTGAAGACTCATTTTTCTCTGAAAAATATACGGAAAAATTACTGAAGGAAATGTAAGTAGTCATCAATTTTTTAATGAACAGATTTTGCTTAACTGATATTCTTGAGAAGTTAGCAGAAGAAATTCAAAATACGGGATCATGTGATACATTGCAACAATCAGTTGATAAAGAAGAATCAGAATTTAGAGAGATAGAACGTGTCTTAGAAAGGTAGGTCGTAAGTATTTCTGAATAAGAACCGAATGTGATTCGAATCTCGCGAAAACAGTGGCTTTTTACTACTTTAGTACACTTTGAACTATTATGAGGAAAAAAAGTTGTAGTCACTTAGTTTTATTATCAAAGTTATGTGTATTAGTTCAAATTTTACATGCTTAATGTTTCTACCTAAACTTGATTTTCTATTTGAGTTACCGACTCGACAGAATAATTATTGTCACCAGAACGAAAATGTTTTTAGACAATATATACTATGGAGTTTGGGGAAAGTGTAATGAGCTATCGGGTCAATGCATACAATTTAATTTCTAGGTATGAAATACATCAAAGACAAATCAAGAAATAAAAGGTTTCGCAATAATATTTCCCAGTAAGGAATATAAGTTAATCGTCAACTTCCCCATTCGACAAAGGTTCTAATTATCTCAACTATCTATTTGAATATTATTCACATTATTCTACTCCTCTTAAATTCAGAGTGAAAATTGGAATGTCTGAATCTCATATTTCGAATTTCAGCTAGCTATAAAAATCAGTGAATTTCCGGTATATAAGTTGAAAAATGCTTTTGTAGTAGTGACATGTATCATAAAAAAACTAGTGGGAGAATCATAAAATCTTGTTAGGTGATCAAATAATATTAACAATAACATATCGTGATGATTGTAAACGTTACTTGGAAGCAGATGACTCTACTTACTCATAAAACTTCAAACTTATAGTAAAATCTGTCCCCTATTCTTCAGTAAAGCGAATAAGCAATTGTATTCTTTTTCTGTCTGAAAATACGTCACAATCATTTTGAGAAATACTTGAGTTTAGTTGGATTGCCCACTAATAGTTTTTTTCAGATATCCTGTCGATGGGTGTTAAGTTTTTTATTCGTTTTAAAATCATGTTAACTCATAAACTGTTAGTACTGATACAACCTACTAACTATTCTGTTCATTTAGCCATCCTACTTTTATTTCCCAAACCAACTTTTGTTACCAAACAGTTCGAGAAAAATTTGACAAGTGGCTTAGTTTTACATTTTACTCAAAATTTTCAAATGGTTTCGATTGGTAAAGTGAACTCCTTTTAACAATGTCTGAGGAGGAGGAACTAGCTGCAACATACCGGTATTAGTGAAAATGCCGATTCGATTCAGTAAATAATTTCAGCCTAAAGTGTAGTACTTCTATTTTACACAGTTTATCAAAATATAAGTACCTTATCGATCCACTCTCATACAAAACTCACATCCATGACATTCGCTTTTGTCCAGTATTTTGGAGTGTCGATTACATTGAATCGACACTTTGTTAAATGCAATACTATTTTCTCTATTCAACTTTCATTCGGTGCACTAAAATTCAAAGATTATCAGATAGATTCTGTTAATCTGTGATATAGGATTGAAAGTAAATGATAAATGTTGACGAAAACGTGGTTTTTGTATGTTATAGATATAAACCTGATACGCATACTAAGAAACCGAAGTTGGTCACTAAAATTTGAAATCAAGGAATTAGAATTAGTATGTTCCCTACGCAGAAATGACGTTTAAGGTCCGGGTTTCAGTTTCGTCATGGGGTGGACACTAACGATGAGTCCCAGACTCTAAATAAACAACCATTTATTTGTCTCTGAATTTTCATGGACACTCCATGTTTTATTTTTATATGATATTCTCTCTTTTCACAAAAGTTTTCAATCAGACCAACAACTTACATATATTATTTAAACTAGAGAACGAAAAGCCCGTGAGAAAATCAAGGAAGTTAGACAAAAAATTCACGAAAGAACAGAGGAAGGCATACAAATTATGGAACAAGGCAAAGAAACCGTCGCATGTTTAAAAGATCAAGTTCAAGTAATTCTTATCTTTTTATTCGGCTTTTCTGATTAATTTTATCGTTATATCGAAAACTTCACTACACAATGGTTTTTGTTAGAAATTCCTCCAAAAATCATTAAACTATAACACAAAGGACGCTTCGAAACTCTACTCACTTAATACGGCCGCAATAAATGAAGAAACTCAACAAGAAATAAGATAAACCGTAGCCACTTAACTTGACGGAAGGGAGACAACAAACAGCTAACAGTACAGTAACGAAAAGCCTTAATGAAACTCAAAACCAGGGAAGATGTTGTCCTAGTTCCAGCAGGCAAGGGATGGACTACAGTAGTTAAAGTCAAGGAAGAATAAATCAGGAAAACCGAGGAAGTACTTGAGGACAGAAGCATATATAAACCAAACGACATAAACTCAATAAAAAAGCCAGACAGACAAATCTCAACGACTCTTAACAAGCCTGTCAAAGCAGAACAAATATCAAAACAAGATGAAATCCAATGGCCCTGTAATTCCACAATTCTATAGTAGGCCGAAACTACACTAACCCAATATTCGACTACGTCCAATTGTATCCCTCCCTGGAACCACAACATACAACATATCAAGAGAAATTTCAAGGATATAGAAACGTCTGGTGGCTTCATCCAATTACTCCATTAAGTCTCCCACGCAATTCTTGGATAAACTCAGCGGGATTCAAATTGACAACGACGAAACGATGATATCTTTCGACGTAACAGCCTTATTCACATCAATAGAGCCAAACTTATCTAAACTATTTCCTTGCTCCTCACCAATGACACAAATCTCCAAAAATATACGGAACTTCAGAGTCAAAGTCTCCTAGAACTCATCGATCTATGCTTAACAACGTATTTTAAATTCAACAATAGGATCTAAGAAGAAACAAAAAGAACTCCAATGAAATCACCAATATCAGGACTCATTGTGGAAGCCGTGATGTAGCGACTAGAAACGTCGGTTCAACCAGTGATCAAGCCAAAAATGTGGGTTCGCTATGTAGATGATACATCAGTCGTTATTAAAAGGAACGAGCTGGAGAACATCTACAATCGGATCAACAACGTCCCTGATGACATAAAATTCACAATAGAAAAGGAATCAAACAATAGTCTATCATTCTTGGATGTACTAATCACCACAATTGATACAGGAAAACTGGAGACTCAAGTATTTCGGAAGCCAACCCACACAGACCTAATTCTCAACTACAGTAGCAATAACCCAAGAATTCACAAAGTCAACTGCGTGCAAACGTTGTTCTAGAGAGTGAAGACACACTGCAACACACTTGAAGCGCAGAGAAACGAAGAGAAATATCTAATGACCATCTTTAAAAAGAACGGCTATCCACGCATCTCCATCAAAAAATGTCGACCGAAATCATCAACAGAAGCGAAATCAAGTGCAGGAACCAATGAACGGATCATCCTACCATACACAAAAGACATGTCGAAACTAACATCACGACTACTGAGACCATTTGGAATAGGCGTAGCATACAAACCAACAGAATCACTTCAACCAATCCTATGTAGACCAGAGGACAAAATGATAAAGGAAGAAAAACAAAATGCCATCCATAAAGTAAATCGCTCAGATTGTGAAAGACGCTACGCAGGAAAAAGTGGACGTCCTCTTCAGATTCGTTTACGTGACCACCAATTAGCAGTCAAACGCCACAATATTTCTTCGCTTATATCAATACATACGGACAACTATGGACATACGTTCGATCGGAACAATGTTGTAATACTGGGTAGGGGAACACAAAGATCGAGAATTTTTAGGAGCATGGCACTCGGGTCAGTCAGCAATCAACAAACACATCAACCAATCAGAAAAAAGTCATAGGCAAACATAAGATCAATAAACAGATCAAAAGGGGGATACAATCAAAATAAAGGTGCTAACAACGTTAGGTTAACGGTCAACAGCAACCAATCACGATGAAGGGTAGACAGGATGAGCTACAGGTCAGACGTGAAGAAATTCGAATACTTCACTTCTATCAGAAGTTTCTGATGACGATGTTGTTCAGAAGAACACTGAAAGCTCCACAACGAAATAATCCAGCACAGAGAAAGAAACACCGATACAGTCATCTACCCGAGCTACGAATTTTCTCCACTATCGCAAAATAATCAGCTTTTATATACAATTCTGTTTTATTTTAATGTTTTTCATAAGCCATTAGCTTACAACAATACTGTCTCATCATTATTTATCAAACCATCATTAAATATTTTACAATGTTGGAGTTAAACTGTTGGTTTTAGCAGCCGTAATTATTTTTTTATTACTCTTCATCTGAACAATAAATCGTAATTTTTTCGCAGAAAAACAAAATGTTTGTATAAGAAAATTATACACTTCTTATCATATTACATCATGATGGTATAGTATAACGGCCAACTAAATTTCATTTTATAGCTTATTGTTAATCTGTTTACTTTGGATTACATGGAAATAATAGCTTTACCACTTGTTATCATTGTTTTGATAATGCTTATGACCAAATAAATGAGGTTTACACATGTCTTGTATTTTCAAAGTACTTGTTTCATAAAGATAAATAGATTTCATAAACCCGCGACCTAATGTACGTTTGTTTTGATGAGTGTATAAACATTGTTAGGATGTACGGTGTTCCAGATGTGAAAATGATACTTACTCGTTAATCCTACTAACTGGTTACTTGAGTGAGAAGGAAATACGAATAGAATGTCGAAAGGTTAAGGAATATTTCTATATAAGAGTTGATATTTAATCTGTAATTCACTTACTAGTGTTGATAAGATTATCCAGATAAATAAAATGGACTCATCGATAACAATCTTTTAGTTGGATGAGGCACTAAGTCAGGCCATTCTTGAAACAATTTGCATTTTAAGCGCAAGAAATGTATCCCGGTTCTATGACCAGAATATAACGAATGACAACTAAACAATAAAAATAGTCAGACTTCATTGTTTGTGTCATTGATAGTGAGGGACATAGACATAGTAAATCTAATCTATTTTGCGGCTAATTTCTTACCGATGAGTAATAATGTAATGGATGTGTAAAATGAACTCAGTGATATCTAATAATTATCTTCATTAAGCACCAAATTACCATGTTACTGATTCTGGACTTTTTTAAAACAACCTAACCTATTATTATTATTTTATGCTTGAAGGAGATGAAAGCCAAAATAATTATGGAAGAAAAATACATTACTCGTTATTCGGAAATCAAATTAGAAGAATTCCAAAGTTTTTGTGATAAAAAAGAAAATGAAATCAAACATCAGATGGATTTTGTTCAATCAAATCGTGACAAAGAAGACCGAGTTCATGCAGAGATTACATCTTACTTAAATGATCGTATATCTTACCTAAAAAAGGTACCTATCAAAACTTATGTATATATATATATATATATATATATATATGTCGGGAAGTTAACGCATTATTCTGCGAGGTTACAGTTAGTAAATGAATAAATAAAATTAATAGATCACATAACCGTAATAATTCACCAGCGTAACTGGAATCGAAGTAAATGGAAAACTAGGTCATGACAACTATCTCCTAATGACCGAAAGAACACAGTTCCACTTTCTTCTGTATACATAGTCCATGCCAAAAGTATTTTGTCGCCATAGCCTTTGGAAAGTGGAGCAAAATTGGTGTTCGTTGTATTGTTAATCAATCTAAATGCTTATGAAATATCCACTGTGTGTTACTCATCAAGCTGCTGTGCTTGCGGAAACTTGGCTGTCGTTCAGACAGGTTTTTAGGAATATACTCAAGGAGCTTACTGAATACCTTTCTTCCATTGTTCAGTGAACTAACTCTTAAGCTTTTTCGTTGGTTCTTGCGACTGATGAATGTTTTTTTACTCTGAGGAAAAAATTTTTTACATCCTGATTATTTACCACACATATTTTTTTACTATGGTTTTCTTCATTTTCTGTCATTTCTTCATCTTACGCAGTGGTCTAAAATGTTGTACTGATGATTGAGTTGTACTGTGCACTGAAACTGTGCGTGGTAATATTTAAAATGCTGAAGTTTATGGAAAGCGTGATTTATTTCATTGCAAGTAATAAGAAATCATGACCATATCTAGAGTCGTACTTTTCATCAATTCTAGTTTTCTTTGTCTGAAGTTAGTCATAATCACTGTAGATTAAAATAAGGTTATTGATGTGGGTATTGTATTGCTTTATACCGGAGAATTATCAGCTACAATATAAACAGTGAATATCATAAAATATTGTACTTTATTTTCGTATTATTGATCAACAGATAAGCTGAACTTTGTAGCTTACTCAGATACTGGCATATATGATTACAAAACATACGTATGCATGGTTCTTTTAAATCAGACAGATTAGAGAGAATTCTTACTATTCGTTGAGTTGTGGATATAGATGCGTTTAAAGTAGACAAATAGGACTCTCAAAGAGTCGGTTTCTGCTCATTTTTCAGTCAACGAAATCTGTTCAGTAAAGTCTGTCAGTGTTTCAGCTATTTTTGTTGGATTGATACAAGACTACCACGAGCTTTAAAAGTTTCAGGTTTTACCGCCCATGGAGGCTTTAATAAATACTGCTAAGGAGTCCTATATTAAGCCGAAAAAGTCATCCAATGTTTCCTAGTTTTCAATAATTTTCTTCCTAAAACTATTCCTTGATGTAAGCTATTAAATTGAACAACCTTCACAGTACCCCCATAAGAATAGTATGTAAACTAATTTTCTTTCGAACGTTTTAAATTTAATAATAAATTCAATATTTTACTAGTTTATAATACAAATGAACTTACAAATTGATTTTTGACAGCATGGAGAATACTGGAAAGAAAAGTCTGATAAAGATATTTCACAGTTGAAACAAGAGTTAAATGAACTTAAAGATATGAAGGAGGAAAATCTCAATAAACTTCATGAATTATTTTCATTGGTAAGTCTCAAGGTCATTTCATCAATATGAGTAACGTTTGTCTTTTAGCATATCCGATGCCGATGTGTTATAAATATGGATGCATTTAGATTCAATTTTACCTGTTACGCCTTGCGGAGCAAACGCCGCTGACCAGCATTCTCGGACCTTTATTTCATTCCATTCATTCCATTCATTTGATATCTGCTCCCAGTTCTAAACGTAGAGTTCTTTGGCCCAGCTGCATCTGAGCTGTCCACTGTATTTTGCTCTTTTTCTGAGATGCTGACGTCTTCGTAATCCAGTCAACCAGAGGAAAGGGTAAGAGTAAGCTAACTTGCCTGATACCTGTCTTCAGTTGGGACGAATCTGGAAGCTGTCTTCCATGCAAGATGTTACAATTTAATCTATCATACGAATTCCGTAGTGTCGAAGAAGCTTTCTTAGCGTCATCCTGTCCATACTATCAAATGCTTCCTCGTAATCAAAGAAGTTGATTTACCAGGGTGATTTCCACTCAACTGAATGTTCAGCAATAATTCGTAATGTCACGATTTGATCAGTTCATGATCAATCCTTGCAGAACCGAACCCGCCGATCTCGGATTTGGATGTCTACTGAATCTTTTATTCGGTTTATCAACACTATTGAAGACTTTTCCTCATACTGATCGTGCAGTGATGCCTCCGTAAATCTCACACTTGCTGAGACCTTTCCTTGGTGTGTTGATAAGGTGACTTTCCTTCCAGCCTGTTCGTACTTGTTCTTCCTCTCAAATCTTACTGAAAAGAGCGTCCATCATCTCCGCAGTTACTGCTATCTCTGCTTTAAGTGCCTCAGGTGGTATGTTTTCTGGTCTTGCTGCTTTGTTGCTTTTGATTTTTCTGATGGCCATGCTGATCTTTTCAACTGTTGATGGGCGAAAATAAGTTGGGAGGTCCGTAGGTTCTGCTTTTCTGCTGGGTGAGTCCAGTCGGACTGATTTATTCAAGAGTTCTTCAAAGTGCTCTACCTATCTGTCTCACTGTTCTTGGATCTCAGTGATTATTTTCCCCTCGTTTTTCCTGACCAATTGCTCTAGTTTTCTATATTTACCTGCTAGCTTCCTTGTCGTATCAATTATTTGTCACATGTTTTCTTCGCTTGCGGATTTTTCTGCTATCATTTCCAGATGTTTCGTATATTTCCATTTGTCAGCTGCAACGATCCTTTTCACTCGTGATGCTGTTCAGTGCTTCCTGAGTTTCAGTTTCATTTTGGTATCCACTAGCTGATTGTTTGAAGATATTTCAGGTCCTTTCTTTGTTCGTACACCTTTCATGGTCCCTCATGAACGTTTTAATTATGCAGATTTGATTGGTTTGATTCTGTGTAGTGCAGTCCGTTGAAACATATGCATCTCTGTGCATACGATTATGTAGAATTATGTTGCAATCTATAACCATTTTGTTGAAGGCATATGGATTTGAGAATCTATCACAGTTTTTTGCTTTTTTTTGTTCTAGTCCATGTTGTCCCGTGATAACTTCATATCCAGTGTTGTCCTTTGCAACCTTGGCATTTAGGTCTGCCATCACAATGATCAAGTAATTTGTTGGACATTTCTCCACGAGTGACTGCAGCCTTTTGTCGAATTGATCTTTGTCGTCTTCATTGTTATCGTTGGCGGGCGCATAGCACTTGATGACAGTTATTATAATCCCTTCTTTCCTTGTTTCGTAGAAAGCCTTAATGATCCTAGATACATGAGATCCACATCCTGTCAGTGCTTTTTTATTCTTTGGACATTATCATTACAGCTCCTTATGTAAGCATTGCATGTTCTTTATCGCCGGAGTACAACAGCATCAACTCCGCCTTTACAACCTTCATGGCTACTGCCGATCCCAAGCCCGCATAAAGGAGGAGGGGTTGGACATGGGGTTGGCACCCCCATCCCAACTAGAAACTAATTTGCAAAAAAACGCTAACCAGAAAAAATCAAACCATTTAAACTCTGCCCTGGGAGTTGGAAGGACAATTATGACGTCTCGTGATGAAAGCCGAGTTTCCTCGGAAGTCACGAGGCCGATTCATCTTCTGACAACCAGAGCAACCATTATTTTAGGTACATGGAACGTTCAAACATTGTGGGAGACTGGAAGACTATTTCAAGTTGCGGCAGAAATGAGAAGATACAACCTGGAGGTGCTTGGAGTCGGCGAAACGCATTGGACACAGGTAGGACAACAGAGACTAGATTCAGGGAAACTGCTGTTATACTCTGGTCATGAAGAGGAAAATGCTTCACATACACGAGGAGTTGCACTGATGCTTTCCAAACATGCACAAAAGGCACTGATAGGATGGGAATCTCATGGGCCGAGGATCGTCAAAGCATCCTTCAAAACAAAGAAAGCGGACATGACAATGAACTTCATCCAATGTTATGCACCTACCAACGACTACAGTGATGACGGTAAAGATCAATTCTTCGAAAGTCTGCAGTTGATCATATCTGTATCAACAAAACGTTCAGAAGGACAATGGAGGATGTGAGAACCAGGAGAGGAGCTGATATAGCCTCAGATCACCATATGCTGATCGCCAAAATGAAACTGAAACTAAAGAAGCCCTGGACAACGGGACAGAGGACATCACAGAAGTTTAATACAGCCTTTCTTCGGGATAATTTAAAGCTCAACGAATTCAAGATAGCCCTCACCAATAGGTTCCAGGCCTTTCAGGATCTATTCAATGGAGAGGACGCAACATTGGAGAACAATTGGAAAGGGATTAAGGAGGCAATCACTTCAACATGTCACGAATTTCTGGATCACAAGAAGTACCATCACAAGGAATGGATCTCTGTTGGTACTCTTGAAAAATTTGAAGAAAGGAGGAACAAGAAGACAGCAGTGAATGTCAGCCGAACAAGAGCAGAGAAAATTAAGGCACAAGCTGAATACACGGAAGCAAACAGGGAAGTGAAGAAGAGCATCAGAGCTGACAAACGAAAATATGTGGAAGATCTAGCAATGACGGCGGAAAAGGCTGCAAGAGACGGAAACTTGAGACAATTGTACGAAACAACAAAGAAGCTCTCCGGAAACTATCGTAAACCAGAACGACCAGTGAAAAGTAAGGAATGCAAAGTAATCAGCAACTCTGAAGAACAGCGAAACAGGTGGGTAAGGTACTGAAGAGTTCCCGAATTTACCAGCCCCATTAAACAAACCCAACATCTAAGCAGCATCTACGGACCTCTCAATCAATATTGACAAACCAACAAGTGAAGAGAACAGTATATCCATCAGACAAATCGAGAGCGGCGAAGCAGCCGGACTAGAGAACATTCCAGCAGCGGCACTGAAAGCAGACGTGACAGCAACTGCAGAAGTATTCCACATTCTCTTCAAGAAGATTTGGAATGAGGAACAAGTACCATCAGACTGGGAAGAAGGATTACCTGATGAAAATACCAAAGCAAGGCGATCTCAGCAAGTGTGAGAACTACGAAGGCATTACTCTTCTTTCAGTACCAGGCAAAGTCTTCAACAGGGTGTTGTTAAACAGAATGAAGGACTTCGTAGACGCCCAACTTCGAGACCAACAGGCTGGATTTCGTAAGGATCGATCGTGTACCGACCAAATTACAACATTACGGATCATTGTGGAACAATCATTTGAATGGAACTTACCACTCTACATCAAATTCATTGACTACTAAAAAGCATTCGATAGCATGTACAGGACAACACGATGGAGGCTTCTTGAACACTACGGCTTGCCTGAGAAATAGTCGACATCATACCGAATTCTCATGATGGATTAAACTGCAAAATCGTGCAAGGAGGTCAGCTGAAAAACTCGTTTGAGGTAAAGACCGGCGTCACCCTTTCTCTTTCTGCTGGTGATTGACTGGATTATGAATATGTCTGCATCTGGAGGGAAGCACGGTATACAGTGGACATCCAGGAAGCAGCTAGACGATCTGAACTTCGCAGATGATCTGGCTCATTCATCACACACGCAACAACAAATGCAAGAGAAGACGATCAGTGCAGCAGCAGGTCTCAACATACATAAAGGGAAAAGTAAGATTCTACGATACAATGCAACATGCGCCAAACAAACCACTCTTGATGGAGACGCCTTGGAGGACGTTAACACCTTTACTTATCTGGGCAGCATAATCGACAATCAAGGTGGATCCAATGCAGATGTGAAGGTGCGTATCGGCAAAGCAAGGGCTGCATTTTTACCATTACATAACATCTAGAACTCCAAACAAATATCAATCAACACCAGAATCAGGATTTTCAACACAAATGTCAAGACAATTCTACTGTATGGAGCGGAAACTTGGAGGACTACGAAAGCCAGCATCCAGAAGATACACGTATTCATTAATAGTTGTCTACGCAAAATGTAAAGCTTTTTACATCTTCCAAAGCTTTAGCATCAAGTGTGATTTAGTTTATGCATGTTCTGTTGTGTCGGAGAATCTCGCTTACCTCTTTATGTATGTCGAGACCTGCGGCTACACTGATCGTCTTCTCTTTCATTTGTTGTTGCGTGTGTGATGAATGAGCCAGATCATCTGCGAAGTTCAGATCGTCTAGCTGCATCCTGGATGTCCACTGTGTACCGTGCTTCCCTCCATAGGTTTATGGTTTAGATTTTTGGCGTAACTAGTCAACTGAAATATCTTTCTCAAGGCATCCAGTGGTCGAATTATGTTCGTTCTCTATTTATTAATTCAGTATTCTTAATCCGATGCGCCACAGTGATATGGTGTTAAGGTTCACAAACTCTTGTATATAAAGATTTCAAGTTCACCATTTTGAAGTAAGGTCGGACGTTCATGAATTCCGTCTGACTTCATTGAAAACATTAGCACGTAAATCTATCGTGATAAATTCTTTGAAGATGGTATGAGGAATTTCGTATAGCACAAGATTTGGAATAAATGAACTTTGCCTGTTATCGGGTATTCTCAAAAACTTTATCTCAGAGTTTATATGTTTTCCTGAAATAAACGTTGATCATAAAATCTTTGCATTAAGGACCATTATCATATTGTATATCCTAGAGTTAAACTTGTCTTTGTACATTACGACTTACGCCTGTTAACCCCAATGGAGCATAGGCCGCCCACCAGTTTTCTCCAACCAACTCTGTACTGGGCTTCCCTTTCTAGTTCTTTTCAGTTTTTGTTCATTCTTCTCATTTCTTTCTCGATTTCTCGGCGTAATGTGTTCCGTGGCCTTTCTCTTTTCCTTTTACCTTGAAGGTTCCATGTGAGGGCTTGTCTTGTGACGCAGTTGGTTTGTACATTACGAGCTGTGTTTCATATTACGATGTTTTAGAATCAACTGGGTGATCATGTACAAATTCCAATACTTACCTTTTAAAAGCAGCTTGTTATTTGATAGGTAGAAATATTGGAAACTGAATGTAAATTAAGTGTTGCAAAGTCTGTAACTGATGCCCATGTTTCTAAAACTAAGTGCGAAAGTTCTTAAATCATAAAGTAATAACCTACTTTTTTAAGATCGAATTTTGAGCAATTCATTTAACCTGAAATACAAAGACAGTAGGGAATTTCACAGAAAATATTTTACACAATTTTGAATATTTAGATACACATGTTACATTATTCGTATAAAAATGATTGTAGTCAAATCTCTAGTATCCCTAATCTTATTTTCAATTTCGATTTATGTGGAATTTTTGAATACATAAGAGTTTAAACTTTCTGTGATAAGATAGATGTTTTGAATATATTTGTATACATTCTGTTGTCCTTCTGTAATAGTATAAAGAATATGAAGCAGTGGTTCTGTCTGATCGAATTGAAAAAGAGAAAGCTCGTCAAAAAGAAGAACAAATAGAGTTGGAACTGCTTGCAGCTTGCAAAGTAAGTTTAACTATGTCGTTTGTCTTACAACTCTTTGTTCTGTTGGTTAAAATGTATTCTACAATTTCGATGTATACTGAAATAGGTTCTGATGCTCGATTAGTTTAGTTCCATTTGATAAACTGTACGGTAATCTTAGAAATCAATAAAAATTAGGTTGTGTATTCCGGGTAAGTAAGATCATGTTTTGCTTTTAGCATTTATCTTTCTTCACTGGTTTCTACAGATAATGATAATGTTTTAATCCTATTTTAAGTGATTTTAACTCACCATGGACCGATTAATATTCCAAATCATGTTAATCAATTTGTATGAATATTCATAAACAAACATTGGATACTGTTGTGAAGTGTTGTGTATCAGTTCAACATTCTGATATATGTTAATAAATGAATTTCCTTCTGTAATCTCAAATGTAGTCATTTTCGAACATTACAGAAAGTACTTTATCTAAGTATGAATATAATATTCATGGTTTAAGTACAAATAAATGATGTTCATCATAGGATTAAGACAATTAATTTTTACACTTCATTTTGTTTTGCGATTAGTTAGATCAAAATGCCAAATTTTATTACTTTATTAGATATTTGTTTTCGAATATAACTTATGTTTAAAAATCTAAAATGTAGTTATTACACTGACTTTGAGATAAAGAGTAGAGTTGAACGGCGTTCAACTAATTTGTAGTGTCCAAATGTAAGGCGACGATTGATGTATGCACGATTTATTACAGAAACAAATTTTTTAGCATTTCAATGCAACTGCCTATTTTACATAATTTTTCATTTTCCGTTGTTAAGTGAATTTATAAATCATTGATCGAAGAAGTACAGCTATATCGGCGTGGTAGGTCCTAGAATGAATAAGATCACATTTCATGACTTAACTAACATTCAACTACCAAATATCAGCTCCTTGCCCCAGTCTGTTGGAGTAAACTGCATTTTTAATTCCCACAGACTGGTAAATCCGTTAATAAACTTTTAAATAGTCTATGTTTAGGTAACCAGCTGATTATTAGTAAACTAACTTTATCTAGTGCCTTAAGTATTCACACTAAGAAAAAATTAATAATTTTCACAAAATCTATAGTTCTAATCCCGAAAACTTTCCTAAACGAAAGTATGATCATCAATTAATCAACCACAAACGAACGTTAATTTTTCAGTTAGTGCTACTGTATAAACGTGTATGTTAAGGTTGACGGGAAGTCACTATTTATTTCAAGAGTAATAGGAAATATTTTATCATTGAAAATGTCTTTTAGTGTTCTCTTTTACTACAAACGGAACTCAATTTAGTAATGCTGTGTAATTCACAGTCACATAAACACAAAATTATTACTATCAAATGAATGGTGTCTTTTATTTTACGTCATCGAGGAATATCATACATGATATTCGTTTACTGTTATATACTACGGTTAGTGTGAAATATATGCCATAACACATTTCAGTGATCCCGTTTCTAATGCAGATACATATAATACCTTGAGAAATTAAAAGCTTAAATTCGTAAACACTGAGAAAGAGAAAAATAGACTAAAAAAATGTTCTATTCCGACTCACGTGGAAAATATATTTTCTTAAGTTACGATGAGAAACGAGTACTATTTTACGATTAGCTATATACGTTCAAAATACCTCTCTTGTTAAATGATTAGGATTATTTACTTGAAATTAAGTAGAAAATACATTTAAAAAACCCACAAGAGTGATTTTTGGAGGAAAGTGTTCGCACTTAAACCAAGTGACAAATCTTACTTAATAATATGCAATGGATGGATTATCAAGTGAAAATTTCGAAAACATTTAAATTTTCGAAGAAATCCTTTTAATTTTGTGTTCAGCTCTAAAGTACAGCAGTGTATGTTGGTAAAAATTTGTTTTGATTGCGCGCATATAAATTTTTTTTATTTCAACCTGCAAGGTGTTCGGTCCATTCTATATTATTAAACGGATAACCTTCATTTATGATTTAGATTCAGAATTGGTGGCGTACCATTTGTGTTCAACGTAGTCTCGGTCCTTATGAGAAAAAGAAGAAAAAAAGAAAAGGAAAAAAGGCAAAAAAAGGAAAAGGAAAATAGGAGTGAAACTAGATTTTTTGGAAGCATTCCGATTTATAAAATTTATAATTGTTGCAAATATAATTATTTCTACTACAGTCATTTAATACGAAACGTTGTAAAGTAACTCTATCAGTTCCATCTTCAATTATATCCTACTTGATTCACTATCTGAGAGACAGACAGATACAACGCAGAACTTCGTACATAAGTACATCAGTTCAGGTTGCCATACCACGTCAGCACACAGACGTAACTGTCAGTTCAAATCCAAGAGTGATAGCGATAGTAGAATTATTAGCAGCAATGGAGAAGATTAAGGAGCGAAGATATGATTCGACAAGTATAATTCAGTGAGATAAATTTAGAAGGAAACATAGAATTTCATAGAACACAAAGAGTGAATGCACCTGCGCCATCACAAACGATTTTGAGCCATGTCGTTCAAGGTCTCTAACCATCGGTGACTTTCGTCTCGCGGACCCCAACCACGTAGCCTACATCTGCCAACATGACTCAGTCCACTTGTCAGTGACTTCATGTATTTGTGCCATGTTTTGGTTTGGCCGCCCCTATCTTTCCTCCAATCTACTCCTACACTGCAGAACATAGCTCGTCGAGGCAGTCGGTGGTTAGCCATACTTAACACATGTCCCAACCACTTCAACTGATAAAGTTTCACTACTTCATCTATTGATCTGCCATCCCTACCTAGAACTCGTTTCCCAACGACAGCATTGCTTATACGGTTGTCCCATGATACACGAGCAATGCTTCGGATACACCTATGATCGAAGACTAGTAACCTATGAATGTCCTCTACTCTTAACGCCATGTTTCGCATCCGTATAATAGGATGGAGCGAACTGCTGCACAGTACACTCGTCCTTTGGTTAACAAGCGGATATCTCGCCTGCGCCATAATTGACGGAAGTTGGAAAAAGCCGATCGAGCCTTCTGTGTACGTGCGGAGATTTCGTCAGTCACCAGGCGAACAGTACTGATGAGACTTCCCAGATAAGTAAAGAGGTCAACAAGCTCAACTACTCCACTCCCTATCACTAGTTCAGGTGCCGATGCAATCCAATCTTGAAGCAACATTTTGCAGAGTAAGAAGACTGCATTTTTTCATCGTCATCACCGAATAGAACTATGTCATCGGCATATTGTTGGTCAGTAAGCGATTTTCCTGGTAGAAGGTCAACCCCTGTAAAATCTGACCAGCTTAGTTTTAACTCTAAAAGCATATCAACTACAAAGTTAAAAAGAAATGGAGAGAGTGGACATCCCTGACGGACACCACTTGAAGTGAAGAATTCTGGTGACAGTTCGCCATAGGCTCTCACTCGACCACTGGTGTTCGAGTAGAGAGCTTGTATGAGGTCAATGTACTTCTTTGGTACACCTTTCAATGACAGACACTGCCACAGAACCTCACGATCCACTGAGTCAAATGCCGCCTTAAGGTCTAGGAAAACAACTATTGTAGGACGCCTAAGTGTGTGTGTGTTCCTGGACCTGTCGTAGTGTGAAGATGTGGTCTATACAACCACGTCCAGGTCGAAAACTAGCCTGGTGTTCTCGAGTTTGCTCTTCACGAGCTTTCGTTAGGCGCCGAAGTATTACTGAGGCCAAAATTTTAGATACTATATTAGTTAGACTGATTCCCCTGTGATTGTCACGAGAAGACTTCTGTCCTTTCTTATAGATTGGGACAATTAGTGATTGAGACCAGTCAGATGGGATTACGTCCAGTTCCCAGATCCTAAATAAGATTTCAGTCAATCTAGCTGCTATAACTGGACCACCATCCTTAAATATCTCAGGGGTCAGTCTATCAGGACCTGCAGCTCACCCTCGCTTCAGATTTCCTAACGCTTTTTCAACTTCATTAAGTCTAGGGGGACTTAGGTCGATTTGCCATTCAGGATGACTGGAGATTGTGGGTAACCGAAGAGTGGCTCGAGGCCAGTTGAACTGATCCCTAAAGTGTTCTGTCCATTGGTCCAGTCTCCTGGACTGAGAATGGATAATAAGACCATCCTTTTTCGAAATCTTCTCACATACATTTGGGTTCCTGATATCAGTTTCTTTGATGTGTCTACATAGTTGTCTGGTGTTGCCTATCGCCGCTGCCTCTACCATCTCTCTCGCTTTCTCCACCCGCCACTGTTCTCGATCATTGCGTAGGCTTTTTATCAGCTTACGTCTATGCTGACTCCGCAACTCATCGCCTTCAGAGCCAGGCGAGATGAGTTTTCCAGCATCCATCAGATAGGTGGATGCTACTGAGATCCACGGTTTCATTCTAGCCTTATGGTTTACCTTACTAGCAGATATCTTTGCCGTTTCCACCGCCTTTTTGATATCATTCCAACCGGCCTCCGGATGAGAATCGCTTCCATGGTCGCCTAACTGTTTTCCTAATTCCTCCTGAAATATTTTTTTAGCTTGATTTTCATTATGTTAAGCCCTAATATTTTTTCTCGTGATATTTTTCTGGCGTCTAGTAAGGCGCAAACAAATACGCGCTCGCACTAGGATATGATCTGAATCTAAACATGTTCGCCAGGACGAGCGGCAGTCCTCTATCGAACCCCTTCAGCGATGGCTAACGGCGAAGTGATGTAGTTGCGTCCAACGATGAAATGACTTCGGGGGCCGCCAGTTCAAGAGATGTTTTTCCTTATGCTTAAAATTAGTATTTGCTAGGAATAGGCGGTTATCTGAGCACAGTTGCAACAAACCGTCGCTATTGTCTGTTCTTTGAGCCACGACACCATAAGATCCACCTAGGTTTCTTTCAATTTCACTTAGTCTACCTACTTGAGCATTAAAGTCACCAGCCATTATTACTATATCAGAGCGCCTAGATTTTTGGAGGTAGTCAGAAAGCATTCTGTAAAACTCATCTTTAACCTCGTCTGAACTGCAGTCAGTGGGAGCATAGGCAGATATGACGAAGAGGCAACGGCGAGTGTCCCTACCCTTCCGAGTCCCTTCTGTTCCGTTTAGTCGGACAGCGCACAAGCGACTATCTACAGGGATCCAGTCAAGGAGAGATTGTTCAGCTCTACGACTTAATGCTATGCCTACGCCAGCTAGACCCCTGGAAGCAGCATCAGGGCTACCGGATACACGAAGAGTGAATTGGGCTGCTTCTTCGTTTTGACAAGGTGGAATCAGATTAATAATTTTACTAGGATCCTGTAAGCGCGTTTCCGAGACGCTACATACATTGATGGCACGAGGTTCTAAAGTCCTAGCTAATGATGCCTGTTGCCCTATTTGACACAATGTCCGTAAAATAAATGCTCCAACATATAGTTTAGAACGAGGTTTCAAGAGACCAGGAATGACGTTTCGTGAACTCGCATCGTTTGCATTAGCTGTGCAGTGTGATAAAGGAATGTGAGAAGAGTTAGTCGTGGAGATAAGAGAGGTATGTGTGGGTGTAGGAAGAATTTGATTTCGACGAATTCGGTCTTGTGTGCTGTTACGGGTATGAGGGCAGTTGTCACTTCCCGGCTGCCTACACCGTGGAAGGTTATTTCTTGAGGGACCTGAAAAGGAAGATAGATTAGTATTGGTCTTGGAGACCTGGGAGCGTGACTGCAGAGCCCAAGGGACAACTGCTTGAGGCCGGTCACGCACGGCCTTTTTATGAAAGGTTTTTTGAGTATTAGCTCCGCTCTTAAAGACCCTTAGTGGGCACCCTTACCGACGGAGACGGAAATCCGTGGGGTAGAGTGAGGTGTGACATTTTTAGGGTCGACATTTTCTAACCCTTCCTTGTGAAAAGGCGGCATCGTCGCAGATGCTGCTTGTCCGAGGGAAACACCTTACTGCTGTCACACATCTCTGCAGTCAGCAGTACGACTTCACCCTCAGACCTTGGGTAGCTACTTTTAATCTCATCGTTCTCCAATCGACTTGCTTGGCATGGTAGAACCTTCAGGAACATATGTTCCAGCCCATATGGCTCGGTTAGGTCATCACGATAGGCAAGCCTGACCACCACGTTGAGGTAGCAGCTACGGTCAGGAAGGTGCTGAAAAAGAGCAATAGTGAGAACGGGGCGAGGAGCAGAATAGAAGGTATTCATGTTTTAGACAGAAGAATGACTCAGCAGATATTTTTTTTGATTAGAATACTAACAGTACACCTGCCTATGTATCAGCTAATGGAGGTAAGTCACTAGTAAGGAAACGAAGTGGCAATTAATCGTATAAGAGGAAATTCAGAAGCACCTAATTGTTAGCAATAATGTTGATTTACGGAACGTAGTAATGAGGCATAAAAATCGGGTGCTTTTGTTATATTTATTCTTTTTTTTAACTCTAGTTCAATAAGTCATGTGTGGGGTCTTTTCAAGTATAACTGTCTAGATCTGCTTGTGATAGGATTTCATGGTAGGAAGTTAAAACCAGTGCAGGGTTGCGGATATGAGTTGTAGACGAGGTTATTAAGGGAAAGTAACTTCAATATTACTGATTCGTTACATCCTGCTATACCGTAAGGAGCTGTAAGCAAACAAAATGTTCTACACTACAGACATGCGTATATTGAGGTTATCGCCCCACCGTCATGGATGCTGGTCAGGTGCACCAGCCTCCCTCCTCTTGTGATATTAGGCTTTCATACGTCTAATGGTAAATTATAAATAATGCTTTTTTGGTATGCGATCTATTTTTTGTACACTTTGTCGGAATACAGTTTCCGTACCAACTCCACGTTACAAAATAAACCAGACAACTATGGTATATCACACTGATTTTAAGTAAACTAATGGTAAAAATTGTAAGATGTGTCAGTTAATAGGTAGTTTTGAGATAGGAAGGATACGGAGCTGCAGAATGAAAAAGAAGAGTTGAAATAATGATAAAAAATTAATGAGTAAAGCGATAAGTTGGCAAGCGGGCAAGGTACTTGGATGTTAATTAATTCGGGAAATAAAAATTTATTAAACTGTTAGTACCTAAAGAAGAAGGAAGTTACAACGAAACAAGGAGTTTGAGTTC